GTGAGAGCACTCGAGAGAAACAGGGCAATTGGTTCGTCGTCAGTAGATCGAAGGTAACTCCTCAATGCATCTCGTGCTTGTTGATCAGAGCTAAGCATCACGTCCAATTTGACATCCCAATCATGCTCTATCTCAAAACCGGCCTCTGAAGCGGAGAGAGATTCCCAAAACAAAATGTTACGAAGAAACTCGATAGCCGCTGGGAAGGCGTTCTGGTACGGCCCCGATAGTATGTCCAATGCAGACAAACCAGATATGCCTTGCGATGGAGTGGTACCAAGTAGAAAGCGCACCGCGTCAGAGAATCTCGGGAAAGAGTACCATGAAGATAGCTCACTGGGGGACACGTTTTGATCGTGATTGGAATTCTGGAGTCGGAACCAGTAAGGATGCAGGCCTTTCTGTCCCTCCTCTACCACTTCATGATGCTTCTCTGAGCCGCGAGCAATGGCCATGAGATCTATCCATCGGGCGATAACATCATTGTAAGGTAAAAATCTGTTCGCGAATCGTACTGTTGCATGCTGAGGGCCGCGGACAACAGTAAACCCGGTCAAATGGTCCTCTTGTTCAGGCTGATTACTCATTTGCTGAAGGAGAAAGGGCCGCAGTTGCGCTTGAAAGTCATGATCCCATTTCTTCATTGAAGAACTGAGAATATTTCCTAATGCCTGTTCGATACTGACGAATATCTGAGTGCTTGAATCATCAGAGCTGAGCGATGTAAATAGCCATTTGATAAGTTCAAAGCCAGACAAAGCACCTTCTCCCTTCTGGACCTGGAAGTCTGCCTTGGGGATCATGATACCAATACATTCGTAAGCCATACCTCGCAAACTAAGCTCCGTCTGCGGGAGTTTTTGACCACTTGCCGCGGGGCTCGGCCATCCTTGAGACTGGATGAAGTCTATCAAGCCTGCTATAAGCTTCGGTGCCATTTGCTGTAGATCATCTGGCGAGCCCATCCTCACAACCCACGTAGTAAAATTGAAAAGTTGCGTCCGTAGCTTGGACGCTTGCAGTCCTTGTATGGATCTCGCACTGTCTGATAGAAGTCCTTCCCCTATTACCTGCATAATGCGCTCTTTATCCCTGGTCGCCTTGATTGATCTCCCTAGGAAGGCCAGTAGTTTAATCTGCAGAGCAGGTCGAGCCGGCGTGGCTCCATCTGACGTTCCTGCACCCAAGTAAAGGTCGTACAACTGCCGCACAACATGGGGATCCTCAAGGCTTGGTACAAACCTTTTGAGGCATTCCTCGCCAATATCAGATAGACGAGTGTTAGCATCAGCAGATGCAATCACAGCAGGCAGGAATCGCTCTGAATTGGCAAAGGCTCCGCTGGCTAGGAATCTGAGGACATTGACTTTAGTCTCAGTGAGGTTTAGCCCGCCATCGGAAGCATTCCAAGTCTCGGAGATAGGAGCATCTTTGTTCAGGAAAGTATATTCTGCTGGGGATAGTCCCGGACATGTGGACTTATCCTTGTCCGCGGGGGAAAGAATGAGCAGTTTCTCAAACAGAGATGACAAAAACTGCGTATCTTGGTCAGAGAGACCCAAATGAGTCTTTAAATGCAGATCTTCATCGCTATCCTTGGGTGGTAATCTCAAAAGCGGGAGAAGCCTCAGAACCAAGTTAAAAACAGTGGCAGCTTGATTGGTGGATGAGCCGATCTCCGAGATTCCCTGAAGTAGAGGAAGTAGGATCTCTACCCTTGCATTTGACCCTAGGCGAGGAACACCTTGCTGAATATAGAGCAGATCAAAATGTCTGATCAGGTGAGATTTTTGTTCCTTGAACTGGTTCAACAAAGCCGCCACGGGGAGCTTGATAGTGGGGGATTGAACTCGGGTGTTGATGTGCTGACAAACCGAAATGACTTTGTTGCGAACCGCAATGCTCTCAGAGCCTAGTTTCAACAGCAGAGGTGTCAAATAGGTATTTAGGAGTGTCTGGAGCCTATCGTCCGAGTCCGCAAGGGCGATCCTAAGCTCAACCTTGGATATCAAGCTCAATTCACGAGCTTCAGAGCTCACTGGGATATTGGTTTCCGAAGCCATGGCACGCTCGGAGAGAAGGAGAAGAAATCAAGCAAGTATATTTAATAGAGATATTTCACATCGACGCGATGACTGGTAAGAGCACAAGAAGAGATGGGGGGGAGGGGGGGTTTTCAACTCTGGCAGAAGTGTTAACTCTGTAGATCCCCGTCTAGGCAGAGGGAGCTCAACGTCACCCTCAAACCTGAGGCATCCTGACAAGTTAGTTAGGGGACTGTTGATATTAGTCATCATCAATCCTGGCTCCTCGTAGTTAGGCTACTCCGTATCTGATTAGCTAACTTACCTCATACTGTTAAGTAGTTATGTTATATGAATACAGTACACTATACTGTACTGTACTGTACTGTACATCCAGGCACTGACAAGATGACTCGATTGTATGCCGTATCTGGATCTATGAGCTCGGTGTTGACGTTAGCACCAGGACCGCTTCCTTTACCCGCTCTCGGCGGCTCACCGTCGGATTCCGGCAGGGATAGTCACTATCACAGACGCGATGTGCATGCTTGATAAATGACTCGGGAGCGAGTAGCTTTCCCCTCACCTGTCATCGTTCTTACTGGATTCTACTCCGTACTATCTCACGATGGGCAAATTGAAGGACCAGAGGAAGCAGGCTAGCACCTGCTCTCCTCTTGCTACAGCCCGCTCGCTATAGATTGGATTGCGTGTTCCTCATGCAGTTGGCACCTTGCACAATGGACGTGCCTCGCCGCTGATTATTGAGGGCAGTACTCCGTACCGTGCAAGTACAAATAACCCCCCTCATAGCGCGCAACAGCTGCTTCAAGCAGCGTGGTACAGGTGTATTGTTCACCAACCCAGAGTAAACGTTTTGTTTTTCTTGAATCTCAACAGTGGGCTACGAGAAATAGGCTGATCTAGCTGTGATCCTACACGCGGTATCGCCATGCAGTTGAATCTCCATCCCATCCTTTGGATAGGGCTTTTCTTCTACTACCACCAAGCTTACGCTCTCTTAGAAGTCTTTGAAGTGTATCAACCTATTTCCCTTGCAAGCGATGGGCACAATCAATGTGCAGGAGAGGAGCGCGTCTTAGTGGACTACGACTTCGGGAATAGTTATTCTCTCCCCTATGTTGGGTCAGTGACGAGTCTCTTGCAGATCGACGAGAGACAGCACTAAACTAGACGTGTATAGATTCTATGAGCCTCCTCGCTGCAAGTTTGACACCGTTCGCATCAACCTTACTGTCACCTCGATTGGCAGACAATATGATCGTCTTGCCATTTTCTATCTTGGTGATACTGAATTGTGGCGTACATCAACCGCGGAACCAACCAGCGATGGCATTATCTGGACCTATTTCAAAGACATGTCACAATTTAACACCCTCTGGAAGGAGAAGCAAAAGATAATATTCGACCTGGGAAATATCATCACTGATGTCTATACTGGGCATTACAACACAACATTGACAGCCTATTTCTCCTACGAGGACAATGTAAAGACGCCAGATGCCATCTTGCCTATCTCTGCGAGAAGGTCATCACAAAACGCGTCCAGCGACTTTGAGCTTCCATCGGACAATGCGACTGTACTTCACCGATTACCTCCGACTACTTCACGTGCTGTCGTTTCAATCGCCGCCACTGGTCAATCAACAGAAGAGTTCTGGTGGTCGAACGTCTTTACATCCGACTCGTGGTCATTCGATAGCACCATTGGGGAGCTGTACGGATACTCCCCCTTTCGCGAGGTACAACTCTATATCGATGGCATGATGGCAGGGGTGGTCTGGCCATTTCCCATTATTTTCACTGGTGGTGTCGCGCCGGGTTTCTGGCGTCCAGTTGTTGGCATTGACGCCTTCGACTTGAGGCAGCCAGAAATTGACATCACCCCGTGGTTACCCATGCTGCTGGACAACAAGACCCATTCTTTCGAAATTAGGGTCACAGGACTCAACATCTCTGAAAGCGGAGCTGTCACATTCTCTGATACTGTTGGATCCTATTGGATCGTGACTGGAACTATTTTCTTGTATCTGGATGAATCCGCACCCCAGTTATCTCCTAGTCGCAAACCAATTTCAACAGCTCCGCCACCGGAATTCAAAGCGACGCGCAACCTTGTGCAGAATGCAGCTGGGGGGAATGAGACATTGATTTACTCCATAACAGCGCAGAGAACCTTTACAGTTGAGTCTGCCGGTTATGCGTGGCGTCAGAATCTTTCCTACTCGAACTATGGAACCTTGAACCAGCAAGGTCTGAGCCAGAGTAACCACCAGCATACTTCTGGCCGCAACCAGCTCACAGGAAGCAAAATACTCAATGAGGTCACATTTGGTTATCCTTTACTTTGTAACCAGACTTATGATCTGGACGATGGGCTTACTATAAGTGCTTGGATGCGCAGAGGTCTTGACATTGAAGCTACAGGAGGCCTGGGGATCTCAACATACACTCTTACCTCAGGCCCTCTGAACTTGCACACCGAGCAATCGGGCACGGCTTTTTATCAGTCAACTTCAGAGGATAGTGCTTCGTACGGCGAGACAAAAGATGTCTTTGAGAGCGACGCTAATGGTGTCTCATATAGTCGGGAAGTACACGCGGTCAACGGCAGTGTGGTGTATGATGCAGGCAACTAAGAATCTCTGAAGTATCATAAATCACTAGTTGATCCTTTTCTTGCACCTATTTAAATGATCTAAGACCTTTGTGTATGATAGATTTAACTGTTGAGATACTTCAGCAGATGGACAGTTCTTATCGGCACGTGAGCTTAACTGATAAGACAGATCTTCTGTCGCCTCCTGAGAGCCCCATCAGATCAACTCATCATACTGTGGCAATCAAGATATGTATAGCAAGAAGATAGCATGGCCACGGTAGAAACAGAGCTTAATTATTCAGGTAGTCTGGAGCTTGCTCTTTCTTATATGGGTTAATCGCTGACCAAGGACTCCAGGTCTTGTCCCAGATACTCTGGTTGCTGCCTTCTTGAGAACTAGCTGCAGCATTGAACATAATGGACCACCAAACAAGCGGCTCAAGTTGTCTTTAGCACCCCAGAGTCTAAGAGATCTCAATGGACTTCTGACATCAGAAATTCCGCTGGGCTATATTCCGCTAGCACGATGTCATATCAGATTAGTAAGTGATCGCCAAATTCATATACAAGCGGGACCTGGCATGGCCTCATAAGGTTGAGTCTGCTAAAAGCTTCATCAACAGAACTTTGCTCACTCGAGAAGTGCAGAAAGTCTACTGCATTCATTCAAATACGTCTCACGTCTTCCTGTTGTAGTGCAGACAGTCACTGCCGCTTCTGTTTATTCTGATACCACTGTGAATAAGGACAAGCTTGACAGCCTTCAGCTGAACTTGTTAGCAGTGCCCGGACAGGAAGTTATATTCTCAGATAGAATCACCGACCGTAAGCTCATCGATGCCATTGATGGCGAATTGTTAGGAAGCTTGCCCTGCGCCGATCGATTTGTTAAGAGTGTGCCGTCTGTGTGCTACCAGGCAACCTTGCATCAGCTCCCTGATGGGAAGTCCTTCAGACTGGAAACTGTCATCCTTTGGAAGGATTCGAAAGATATTCTAGATTCCAGAAGCCTATTGCCTGCCTCATCCAGGGTCTTTTCGAAGTATGTTCTGAGAGAGAGTGACGGTTCGCTCATGGAGCACACAGCACACACCCAAAGATTTCAAGGGCAGGGGGCAAGTTGGTCACCACGCGATTTTTACGAAAACGTTCATGTACCACCTGATATGCCCACGGGCTCGGCCGAGATTAAATGCGCCCTGACAGAGTGTCAGCTTTTCCCCTTTCAGAGACGGACCGTCAGGTGGCTCTTACAGAGGGAGGGCGTCAAATTATGCCCCGATGGACAGGTAATCCCTATTGAGGTGGATTCAGATAATGATCTACCAGCCTCCTTCATTCGTATCACAGATGCGGATGGGAAGTGCTGTTATGCGAGCCATCTCCTCATGATTGTGACTACAGATATCTCTGCACAGAGGACAGTCTTACGAGGCGGTATCTTGGCTGAAGAAATGGGCCTGGGTAAGACGGTCGAAATGATCAGTCTAATGTGCCTCCACCGTCGAAAATTACTACCTGAGACCCTACGTCCAAGCCCCACTGGTGGCTTGAGGCCCTCCCGTGCCACTCTGATTATAACGCCACCTGCGATTCTCGACCAGTGGAGAGAGGAGATTTTGCTACACGCTCCGAGTCTTCGTGTTTTCCACTATGAGGGTATTAACCGTCACCATGAGATATCAGAGCGTGGCTTGATTGATATGGTCGCTGATCACGATGTCGTCCTCACGACCTATAATGTTCTTGCTCGAGAGATTCATTACTCTGGAAATGCTCCGCAGCGAAATCTTCGGCATGAAAAAAGGTTCGAGCCACGGAAGACGCCTCTTGTTCAAATTCATTGGTGGCGAGTTTGTCTGGATGAAGCCCAGATGATAGAGAGTGGCGTCAGTAATGCAGCCAGAGTTGCTCGTTTGATCCCGCGCCAGTTGGCCTGGGCTGTGACCGGGACCCCTATCCGCAAGGATATCACAGACCTTCTCGGCCTTCTTCTATTTCTGCGCTATGATCCTTTCTGTGGTTCTATTTGGAATAGGTTATGCCGGTCATTTCGCCCTGTTCTGGCGCGTATCACTCAAACTATTGCTCTGAGGAATAGCAAAGATCGCATTCGAGGGGAGCTCCGCATACCACCTCAGAAAAGGTTTGTTATCACAATACCTTTCACTGCAGTTGAAGAGCAACATTACAGACAGCTGTATGAGCAGATGTGTGAAGAGTGTGGGCTTGATATTTCAGGTGCACCTATCCATGATTACTGGAATCCTAATGACTCATTAGTCATCGAGAAAATGAGGAGCTGGCTTGCCAGACTTCGCCAGACGTGTCTTCATCCCAATCAGGGTCGAGGATTTACCGCTGGGTCTAGCGGTCCGTTACGCTCAGTCCAAGAAGTTTTGGAGGTTATGATTGATGAAAACGACGTGAGAGTAAACGCTCAAGAACGTGAACGTCTCTTGTTGCGAATGCGCCGTGGGCAATTGCTGGAGAATGCTTTGCGAAAACGAGAAGCACTTGAGCTGTGGAGGACTTGCTTTGAGAGAGCGAGTGCAATCGTCAACGATTGTCGAGGTCGACTTCAAACAGAGATCGAGAGACTTCGGGTATCAAATGTGGGCACTAGTCAAGAATCGGCATCGAATGACCTGGCAACCAATGACGAGAGTGAAGATTCGGACAAGAGTAATCGCATAGGCACCTACCGACAGAGGCTCCGCACTGCTCTTGAGGTCCAGCATATGGGTATATTCTTCATGGGCAATGCGTACTATCAAATCAAATCGGATCTCAAGTTGACTGACCCTGACTCTGATGAATTCAAATCTCTCGAGCAACGGGAAGAGGAGGCGTACGCCACTGCCAAGTCCATTCGGAAGGAAATTTTGACGGATGTGTCTAAGAAGGTAGGAAATCACATGAGAATAATCAAGGAGATGCTGCGCAACAAGCGATATGTGGTCATACCGAAGATGAAACCTCAGATATATAACACAGGCGTAGAGGCTCGCCGTGTGCTCGAGAATTTCGAAGACTTCTGCGAGGCTATGAATAAACATGCTGCACAATACGACGAGTGGCGTCGAACCATGGTTCATCTTCTTTCCCAGTCGCTCATTGACCAGGAGGATGAATCGGAGCTTCAAGGGAACGAATACGAAAGTTCTACCAAACATCAAGATGAAATGTATGTTTATATGGAGGCACTACGCGCCATGTTCGCTGATCGCCACGACTGTCTGACTGGACAGAGGAATGTGCTTATTGCTCATGAAGTCAAAGGCGGAGTCGCTCAGGCCCAGAAGGGCGAGGGCCCTTCACCAGAGCTGTTTCTGAATATCATGAACATGCGAAGTCGTATGAAGCCCGATCCTAAATTGGGCTCTCTTCGTGGTATTATCAGTGAGCTTCGCAGCTTGACCACATCCCTTGAATGGCAGGCAACTGAGGGAAGCGCTCGGGCTCGGGCCGAAATGGAAATCGCCAGTTTGGTGTTGAAAAATGCCAGTGCTATGGCTGCAGAACATTCCAAGGTTGTTTCAAGCCTTGAGAGAGAGGTTGAGATGTTCCGGGACACGATGAATTATCGTCTTGAGTACTATCGTCAATTACAGCAAATCTCTGACACCGTGGCCCCGTTTGACGAGGAGAGCGTCGGAAAGCCTTTAGATGAGGCCGTCTTCGAGGCGAAGCTCTCTCAAGAAAACGTTATTGATGGAAGAATATCGGCTTTGCGCGCAAAGCACCGCTATTTAATCCATCTTCGAGACGAACCGAGCGTGGATGAGTCCACCAGAATATGCGTGATATGCCAATCAGGCTTTGAGATTGGTGAGTTGCGGCATCCTCTGACTAGTTGGAGCCAGGTTTTGCTTACATCAATAAGGTGTTTTGACTGTATGTGGCCATCACTATTGCCAGCATTGTTTGGGCATATGGTGGCGTCAGCATCGGACTTGTCCTACATGTAAACGAAGGCTGAAAGCGAACGATTTCCATCAGATCACATACAAGCCTCAGGATTATGTTGTGCAAGAAGAAAAGGCACCGACCAAGGCCATGTCTGAACGACCGTCTTCCACAAACTCAATATACCATGATATCAGTTCGAGCACGCTAAACGAGATCAAGAATATTGATTTGAATTCTTCTTTTGGCACTAAGATCGATACTCTGGCTCGCCACATAATGTGGCTCCGTGAGCACGATCCTGGGGCCAAGTCGGTAGTGTTTTCCCAGTACAAGAACTTCCTTGAAATTCTAGCATCTGCCTTATCCCGGTTCAAGATTGGGTTCAGCAGTGTTGACAGCAAAGATGGCATACAAAATTTCAAGAGCGACCCTGCGGTGAGAGCCATACCTGAGTTGTACGCAACGCTATAAATTTAAGAATCTTAATGCTGACAGTCGCCTGTATCTAGCTGGAATGCTTTCTCCTGCACGCCCGAGCCCATTCATCTGGACTTAATCTTATTTGTGCGACAAATGTCATATTTTGTGAACCCTTGATCAATACTGCAATCGAGCTTCAGGCCATTGCTCGCGTACATCGCATAGGCCAGCATCGGCCAACAACCGTCTGGATGTATCTGGTCTCTGACACTGTTGAGGAATCGATTTACGATCTGTCTGTGTCGCGTCGTCTAGCCCATATCATGCAAAAGGAGGAACAGCAAGAGGACAGACCATCAGAGTCTCTAGTAAATGGCGCTCATGAGACGGCAAGCACCACGCTTACCGAGACAGCAATTGATGCAGCGAATTCTCTTGAGATTCAAGATGCGCCGCTTTCCAAAATGATGGCAAGCGGCCCCTTGGGTGGTGAACTTGTCCAGGAAGACGATCTATGGCGATGCCTTTTCAGGAAAGCCAACAGTACCCACATGGATGCCGCAGGTGAAGTCGCGAGGTTCTTGGAAGGCGAGGCCGCTGAGCAGAGAAGTGTGGCGTTATTGAATTCGTAACCTTGCCGTCACGGTCTTGACCCAGCCGGTTTGGAAGTTCTGAATGTGGTGGATGAACAAGCAATCTTCAGATTTCGGGGCCTGATATGTGGTGGTGTCCCGATTCAGTACTGCATCTAGAGTAGAGCAATCAACAGTACCATGTCGCAGATTAACAGCAATCCCCTCGAATGTGGGGCATTTATGAGCCAAGGCTTGTAGCAATTTGAAGTACCCAACCGCCTCATTTTCGCTGGTTCTGCTGTCGACGTGTCAATACCAAGTCCTTCCATGTCACAGGCGAGCTGGTTTGTTTACAAGCTTATGAAAAGCGTAATTGTGCGGTAGCCTCATGAAGTTGACAAGACAGATCTATGAGCCACCGACCATGCATATTAATGCATTCCTTCCAAGCCGTAGTATTGTACTGCGTCTCGGTGTACTTCCCAGGCCACTACCGAGCATCCAGTCCAACTTCCACAACAATGACTGTTACGAAATTGAGGAAGGAGGCGCTCGAGCATCGTAAGTTTGCTAATAGGCCCCTCCGCGTCCCCAAACCTATTGCCTCTAGATCCTACTAGCTTTCCTTATCGATACTGTCGCCCTCGTCGTCACTATTGATTGGAGCCCTGAGCTTAAAAAATTGCCAGTCTTGACCACAGTCACTTGGGGGCCGAACCAGAAATATTCAGGTTAACACACTTGGAAACTGGATGGATCACTAGGGTGGTTGTTTTCGAGCATTATTGTCTTTTATCGGTGGATGAGAGAGAGAGCGGTGTGTTCCAGTGAGTCCCTGATGGACGCCGCTGTAGAGCTCCAGCATGCTTATGAAACAAGGCATGGTGAACAAATAGTTGCTATAATACAGATCTTGAGGTTGCAGTAATGTAATCCTCCAGGTGCGCTAAAATTCTCACATGAAAAGACGCCAGGCACCCAGAATGAGTGCAGCGGTACCGGTGCAGACACCCCTAGAGCACATATGTCAGTATACAATACTTCCTGCAGCAAAGAATCACGAGATCTTACATGAGCCATTGTAGAGTGGAAAACTTGACTGCTTCCACACGCTCCCTTAAGCCGGCAACTTCCTGCTCGATCCGTGTTTCTGTCTCCTTGATGCGCATTTCCTGTCCATTCGCTTCTTCACGAATCCTGCCTTTCTCGAGGTTCAAATCCAGGCGCACGGACGCCTGTGTGCGCCCAATCTCGTCGCGGAGGCGCGAGTTGAGCTTGGCAAGGTCTGCAGCAATCTTCTCGTGCGACGAGCGCGTCAGTTGCGCTTCGGTCGAGTCTGCATTTAGCAATTCGGAGCGGAGCTTGGCGAAGTCGACTTTTTGTGTATATGCTGATCGTTCGGTGTCTGGACGACGACAAGGTATAAGCATCCTAGCGATCTGCATCATTCTGCGATATATCCCTACCTTCTCTTAGAACCATTGTACGGGTAAGATTTTGGATCGACTCTTCGATGATATCATTCAAAACTCTCATCATGGCGACGGCCTGCTCCTCACTGAACCCTTCATCCTTCAACCGCTGTACGAACTTCAGAGTATCGAAATGGTGATCTCGTTGACGGACTGTGGAAGCATGGAAAGCACGTCGAGCAGGCTTGAAGGCGGCGACATAGACACCGTCATAGCGGATAGGATGGCCGAGGCCTTGTACATCGGGAGGGCTGGTTGTGTGGCGGGCCAAGGCAAACCGCTTTGCGATCGCCGACGAAGCACCAGTGCCCCGGGGTATGGCGGAGTGACTTGGGGAGGAAGATGAGAGGCTAGCTAGACTGTGTAACTGCCGTCCAGCCTGGTTCCAGAAGCGTGTCAATTGCTGCTTCTGTTGGCGCGCTGCTGGAAGAGTGGTCGGGGGTGCAATAGTCGTCCGAGCAGAAGAGCCGTTCCATGTAAGACGGGGAAGCATGGAACGGGGCACCTCCGCAACTGTCTTTTGAGACGCCATTATTGGCACGGAGCCATGCGATACCAAAAGAAGTGATGGCCACACAAAAGCGCGTGGTAAAAGAGCCTGAGCCAGAGCCTGATCTGGGTGAAGAAGGATGGTGCATGATGAGGTGCCGGTTGACGATGACTAAACCCCGAATTCGGGGACGGCGGGCCTTGCTTGCTTGCCTGCATGTGATTGCTGCCATTTACACCCTCAACGGCATTCTGGGGTCTTACGCAAGATACCAGACCCCCCGGGCTTTTCCGGTTCCTAAAAGCGTGGGCGTGTCTGCACGTTCCTTCATGAGTCGAAAAATATACACTTATATACATAATTTACAATAAAACCGTGACTGGTTTGAATTATACTTCATATGGCAACCATCTACAGTACAAATCGTCTTTTGCACTCATGCCTCTGAACCAATTAGTATATTTTCCTCGGGACCCAACGCGAGCTTAGGTATCCCACTTTCACCCCAATCCATATAGATCACTTTCTGAGAGAAAGCCGGACTATAGCACTTCTTCGGCCCATCTATAGCTCGAAAAGCTCTTTTAATAACTTCATGGTGTCACCGGGGTTTTGAACGGCATGACCGATTGTCCTATAGTCGCTGTAAATCTCGTAGTCGTTGCCTCCCTCGAAGCATTTGTCTCCAAAGAAGTGAATCGTCTTGTACTCCACGCCAGACATCTCCTTCTCAGCGGCGACGTGCTTCAGGCAGTAGGTTTTGTCCCAGCCAGTAGGGAAAACATCGAACGAGATCTGGCCGCCAATAGAGTAGCTAAGTCCACAGTGTGATTAGCAACAAGGGAGTACAGGATGTGTTGGGGTGCCTATCCCAGGACTCACGTGAGACCCCAATCAGGGAACTTCTTCTTGAGAGCTTCTACCAAGTCTCGACGGATATGGTGCACATCATCATATCTGTAGAGAGGACATTAGTCAATCAAGCTCGAGTCGCATGCAGACCGCTAGGCCTGAGGGGAGACACACGCTTGGAACTCATTTCTCTCGTCGAAGCTAGCGTTTCTGCCAATGGGGCTGACATTAATCATTCCGTTGCGAAACTCGATGAAGGTACCACGCTTTTTAGGAATCTTCAAGTCCGCGATGTATTTAAGGCAGAAGTTGACCAGCTCCTGGTATCTTTCCTCTCCAATCCACTCAATGAAGCTGGTTCCAGCGAGCGGCTGTCCCAGACGAAAAGCAGTCAAACCGTTCTCAGGGAAGCAAAAGTCAAAGAGGGATGTGACGTTTGTTGTAGCTGAGCCAAGCTGTTCTTGCTGCTTGGCGAAATCCGATCCACCAACCTAGGCATTATTAGATCGCTGGAGTCAAGTTTCCATTTGAAGAACTGACATATCCGATAGCACACTTGTGGCGAAGTCGAGAGAGGAGTTCCAGCATTTCTGGAGTGGCACCCTGGTCACGAGCGATCGATTATTAGTCTCTCGGTCGCTTGACATCAAAGACAGCAAGATCAATTGATCCAAGTTCACAACTTCTGAGATTGAGGGAGTAGCTCACCCTTCTCGGGAGGGACAGTGTGTTGTCGACATCGAAAAGACAAATGGTCCCCTGTAAAGGCCGATTCGGCAAAGATGGATACACGCTTGCGCCTTCTGCCATGATGCCAAACACAATTAAGAGATCTTGTTTGTGAACTTGGTGTGAAAAGCGAGGAGAAGAAAGGGAGACTTTCAATAGCCACTCGAGAGCGACAAGACGGCGGAAATGGTCGAATTCAGGGGGGGAAGGACGCATGCGGTGAAGTGGGGAGGTGATAGCGGGGACTAGCTCAGGCATCAAGGCTGCATTGTGTGAAGACAGTCAAGGCCGAGACAGTCGATCCACGTGGGTCCCGATGGCTTATCGATAACCTTGATAAGTCCCGCAGCTTCGATGACCTACGTACTGTGGGTTGCTTTATCCAGTCTCATTGCTGCTGCATTGACCAGCAAGGGCAGATGGAGACAGATAGTCTCACATTTCATATATATAATACTTCTTGGGCGCTCTACGTGGTGCCTAAGCAGCATTGTGAGAAAGACTGTAGCGAATATGATCGTAGACTTGAAGTATCCCAAAAACCAAGACACTATTACCCACATTGACACCATAGGAAGAATGAATAAGTCTAAGAGGGCACATGACTGCTGCACACAAGGGATGAGTATCCCACTCTGCATTGTCACAGGTCAATGTCCTCAATGGCCCATTGTAGTCTGGAAGACCTTGGCCGCCAACTCACTCAACAGCCGAGCACGGTCGGTTTGAGGCAGCTCCAGAAAGACCTCGTAGACACTCTTTCCCTTTGCGTCACGTACCGCTCCCAGTCGATTACCCGCGACAGCTCCAGCCAACGCCCCGGGAGCATTACCAATGATGAACCCCAGTGCGCCGCCACTAATACCGCCAACAATGGACCAGAAGCGTGACGTAGGACGGGTTTGCGTGCGGCCATCAGCATCGGTGTCTTCACTCGCAAGACCCTCTTCGCGTAGCATCTCCTCAAAGACGGACCCAAATTGCTCCGATGCCCGTTGCTCTCTATCAGTAGCGGAACCGAAGCCGAAAGCGGACCATGGGAAACCACCGGCACCTCCTTGAGGTATATCATATTCTTCATCCACCCCATCTGCCAATCGTGTCGCATCGTAATCGCGCCGGCGTGATATGTCCGATAACGTATAATAAGCATCGTTGATTTCTTGGAACCTACGAGTCCGAGCTGGCCTCTCAGGCGAATCGGCAGGCACTCGGTCGGGGTGCGACTTCAGTGACTCTCTGTAGATGTGTCAGTGTTGTGCTGACTCTAAACAAATCAGAACCGTGCCGCACCTTTTGTATGCATTGCGAATTTCTTGCTGGGTTGCTTTAGGAGATACCCCAAGAACCTTATCTATATAAATGACGAAGTCAGTCTGCTAGCAGTGTGTCTACAACTTCGCGGTGGCTCTCTTACAAAGGTCTCTCTGTCCTAAGAGATATAGTGAGTATGCGTTCTGCTCGAATTTGTGCGGAAATCTGCTGAGATGCACTCACTCGCCATGATTTATTACAATCAGTTTGCTCAAGAGAGATTCAATTTAGTAAATGAAGGTCACGAACTTGTTCCGCGCTAAGAGCTATGTTAGTGGACTTGAGGCAAAAGTGGTTGCTGAAGCGGTCGAACCGACGAAAGAGTCAACCGCCCCCGACCATGACGTCGGCAGCCATTAGAGTGAGTGCCTGAGCTTCTTGTGTAAGGCAGCGAGAGCTGAGCCGGCTTACCTAACTTAATTAGTTACTCCTTGTGAGTACAGTCATGTACTGACTGTATTGTACTGTACATACGCATAATACTATGTAAGTTAGTACCAGGAACGGCCCACGGCCACGGGGAGCCCGGCCCCTGACGGATTTGCCCTTCGCAAGCAGGTTCCTGCTTTAAATATGCCTAGGTACAGTACAGTATTTCTACCAATTTTATAAAGATTCTTCACTTACACCAAAGTCATACTTGCATCTTGACAAACATATGTTACTTCACATAGATTGAACATGACAAGATTCCTAAGGCATCCTATCCTACTCATACCTAGACCCCAGTCTCGTCTACGCTGACAAGATCAGCTTCATAATCGCGACCACGATCGCTTAGAATTTAATACTTAGGTAGTAACTTAGAGCGAGCCATTGGGGGCCGGGGCAACTACACTCGTGCATCTGAAGCTGACTAGTCCCAATTGACTCCCGCCCTCTTGTCGATCCGATCTCAGAAAGAACACATTCCTGTCCTCGAGGGCACTACGTCCCTCTCGCTGACCGATTGTTCTCATCTTTCATCCTAACTAGTATTAATTATTGTTCCCATTTATCGGCAGATCTGGCCACCATCACGTCCTCCACTTATCAACCACTGTCAAATTTCATAAACAGTCTGTGCGATCAAAGGGCACAGTCACCTTTTCAAGGCTCCATTGGCTGCTGGCTAGGCCCCATTGCTGAGTGAAAATAATCCACAATGGGCTGGTTCGATGGAAAATCCCCGACCTCCTCGTCATCTCACAGACATCACTCTCGTCGACGCTCCTCCCCTTCCCGGCGTTCTACGTACTCGTCCTACAATGCCCGCCATTCCGCACCATCAGTTTTCAGCCTGGGCAGTGGTGTCAATCGTGCAGGACGATCCAGCCCATCCGTGTTCTCCTCATCGTCACGACGCGCACGGCCCAGGGAAGGTTTTGTCGCACGGATAGTTCACATCATCCAGCGCATCTTTCGCGATGCGTGGAAATATGCACGCGACCACCCTATAAAGGTCCTGACGCTGCTCGTGATCCCACTTCTGACAACTGGTGTCCTGCAAAGGCTATTGGGCATGATCGGTATCCGTTTGCCAAAGAACCTCCACGGAGCATCGGCGCTGCGACCTGGCGGGGCCGGTCTATCGGACAATATCAGTGGACTGTTCAGCATTGCCAAAATGTTCATATAGCTCCTAGAACTCGAGCCTCTGCCTTTCCGATACGACGCCAAACTGTTCATGAGACCCAACGTGTATACTCTACTCACCAATGCGCTTTCGCCGAATTTGCGATGAGCTTTGGACATCTAGAGACGACTGGATATGACTACGAAGATGATGACCATATTTTGATCGAAATTTGCAATTGCGGGCTATTTGCTTGTAATTTTTGACAGTCTCCTTGGTAGCGATTGCAATCAAGGGATAGCCGTTATAATACATTACTGCTTATTCTTATGTAATGATCTATTAACAGAATGCGCTTAGACCACCTACTAAGAACGTGACTACTAAGTTGTACTGAGTAGATTTCCAGAGCATTGCACTCATATACAAACAGCCGGAGTCGAATGGTAAGTATACATTCATTGGCGCATCTATTCAATGTCTGAAAATGACGAGGCCGGAAAAACAATCCAAGCAAGAATGTTGAGCTTGGATTCATTCCCTCGAAATTTGGTCCAAGAAGTTAAGACTTTTGTGTGCGCTTCGCCCTCCGCCTGGATGCGCCCTTGTTGGAAGTTGTAGCAGAGCTAATCACATCCTCGACTATATTTTGCGCTGTCTCGGCCAGTTCCTCGCGCTCATTGATATCGATACCCATGGCGTCGGATGAGCCAAGCACTCGGCCGAGGGTTTTGTGGTAGACCCAGCCGGGCATCCGGAACACCATTGTATCGCGGAAGGTAGGGCGTGGAATCTCGTCGATGTCGAGGAGGAACTCTCCGCGTTCTCCATCTTCCGTCTCCTCCTCCAGGAACACATGTCCGACCGAATCCACGATGAGAACTTTTCCATTCTCCGCGACGACACGTTTCCTTTCGCCGGTGGGCTCCACGGCCTCATTGGTGGGCGTTGCAGTCCCAGAGCTGCGACCGTTGATTCGACCAGCACTTTTCTTGCCCTGTTTGCGGTTTTCTCTCTCCATCACGCGCTTCTGGCGTCGGTTCATTGGCACGGCACTGGGCTCAGGTTCCGGAGTTGGCGTGGTTGGTTCGGCAGCAACACCACCATTCAGTCCAGGGATACCTCGAACACCCGACTCGTCGCCCCATGCAGCTCTACGGGCTTGACGGATGTACCGATCGACGAATTCCCGCTGACGCTTCCAGCTCAGCACGAGTGCGGCATAGTGGGCGCCGCCCCCAAAGACCAGAAACAGCCCGACCAGGACAGAGCCCAAGCCCGGGCGAAATCGTGAATAGTAGTATCCGGTACCCTTCCACTTCGGAAAACCATTCTTCAGAAAATGGTCATAACGCTCCCGAGAAGCTCCACGCAGAATATTGGCAACAGTGTTCAGACGGGCCGCGCGATCATGGGCTTCTTTGACGGCCGCGTCGATCTCACGTTTCGAAGGGCCCTTGTTAACATGGACACCTGCCTTGTTGGTTTTGGCCCTTGACTTGTCCTTAGAGCTGTTGGCGATGAAGGATCGTCTCACTTTGTCAGGGTGGAGGAGCTTTGACTTCTGACGGTAGGCTTTGGTTAATTCGTCTTGGTTGGCATTCGGTTTCACGCCCAAGACGTCTACACAATTATTAGATTGATCAATCAACACTGATGGCGTAGGAGCAAGGGAAAGCAATGCGGAGGGAGTACCGTAGAATGTCACATTCGCGCCTTCTTTGGAGATGACTTCTTCACGAAGCTGGAAGATTTCGTGGTCTAAGGTGACGTCAATGTTAACAGGGAACAATAGGATGAGTATCAGAGAATTTACCTTCTTTGGTCCAAGCCGCAGACAGGACAAACAGAGCAGCAAAGAATAGCAGACGGAGTGAGAAGGGCTTCATGGTGGGAAAATAGGGCGGTCAAGACCGCTCTGCCCAGTTCAAGAATACTTACTCCGTACTTGTAGGAATCCGAGCGAGATGAGATTAAGGAAATTGAAAATTTGATTCAATGGCTTATCTGTCATCTACTCTCGCTGCTCTTGTACTGTACTGGTGTATGTATATACAGTACAGTACATACAGTAGTACACCGCTCCACAAGTCGGAACTGCCACGCATCACACCGCCGTGACTATTTCCTGTAGTAATGTTAACTTTACCGTAACGAGTACACCACCTTCTACACAAATGTAGGTTCTTCGTCTTTTTCTCTCCTCTGCTGAAAGAGCGCAGTCAAGTTAGCTTACTATGTATTGAGAGGTATGCAGCAGGTTTTCTTTAACACCAATATGACAATAATTCACTTCTATGCACGACGTGGACCAATAAAGATTAGAATTGAGTCACTTCTGACCTGTCAGGTAGAAAATAGGTAGAATCCCTGACTATGTACAATACTGTACTGCACTGTAATTCGCTTCAGACCACGCGTGACGAAGCGAGCTGCGACAATCAAAGTGTGATTGATGTGCGAATACTCCAGTTTACATATGAATGTATTGTGCATTATGGCCAGGGTTCTCCGATTCCTAAGGGCTGGGCTCTGAGGGGAAAAGAAAGAGGAAGAGGAGGAATCAAAAGGCTTAAATTCAGACTCGGTCCCTTCCTTTTCCTTCGATACCTTGCGCTACTGAACTTCTGATCCTCTTTATCTCCAAAGGTTCCCAGCCTGAGGCAACGATACGGCTACTGTACGTTACCGGTGCCTGGACGGAAAGAGAACACGCCTCTCACCAGGGACTGAAGGCGAAGACAAAAAAGACAGTTAAAGTGAAAAGAGGGAAGAAGAAAGAAAGAAAGAAAGAAAGAAAAATAACTAGAACATAAGAGAGGATGATTAATTGCCCTTGGTCTGCTTAGCATGTCGACAAGACATTTGCTGTGCTTCCCCACTGCGCTGCCGCATCCAGCATCTCTCTTTCTATTTCTATTCTTAGAGCATCCACTGGTCTGTCTTTCCTTCAACTTTCTTCTTCGGTTGTTTTCGTGCTCTCCCCTAACAAGTTACTTCACGGATCCAATTTGATTTTTCCCCTGCCCTTTCCATCCAGTTTGAATTTGTGTTTTGGCCGGTTTGGGAGGCTTTGGTTGCTTCCCAGCTCGACAGACTTGTCTTTTGCTCCCCAGCACTTTGTCTGTTATTGTGGTCTGTGTCTATGCTTAGTTGGCTTTCCGCGCGCCGGGGGTGACCAAAAAGGACTGGGCTTGGGCGTTTGGGCCAACTAAGCCAGTTCAAGTCATTCAGTTGCGGAAACTCTTTCTGTTCACCACTGGTTTCTCCGACTTCTCGCCATTCCTCCCCCCCCCCTTTTCTCTCTCTTGATCTCCTGCCTACCTCGTTTCATTCGTATTGACCAAAGCCATTCTTCTTTCATCTTTATTGCCCATCGTCGTCGCCACGAGCTACATCTTTCTGCTACCTCTATTCTGCTACCCAACCTAAGTTTGTGTTTACTATTCCTTCCTTCTACATCCATTTCCGCCATCCACTAGACTTTCCAACATGAGTCCCCTCCAATTTCCTATTGATGCGATCACCTCGCGATTCGGTGACCGTTTCAACAGTGTTCGCTCCCAATCCTTTAGCACGCGCTTCGCTAACCTCCGTCCTGTTTCCGAATTCCTGGATGTCAAGCGTATCTCAAAGCCCGCCAACTTTGGCGAGGTTCAGAGCCGAGTGAACTACAACTTGTCTTATTTCTCGAGCAATTATGCTGCCGTCTTCGTGATGCTTAGCATCTATAGCTTGCTGACCAACCCGGTCCTGCTCTTTGTTATCATCTTCGTGACAGGTGGTCTTTACGGAATTGGCAAGCTCCAGGGCCGAGACCTCGATTTGGGCGTTGCCCGCTTCAACACCTCCCAGCTATACACTGGGCTGCTACTTGTCGCGGTCCCCCTAGGATTCTGGGCCTCGCCCATCGCTACTGTGCTCTGGTTGATCGGAGCCACCGGCGTGGCCGTCTTTGGTCACGCCGCTTTCATGGATAAACCAATCGAGAATGCTTTTTCCGAGGAGGCGGTCTAGGTGGTCGGCCGCGAACTCCTTACGGTATGCCCCGATGGGGAAGACCACCGCGGGCACGAGTGGGGAGACAAACCAGGAGACGTGCGGCTCCGTGGGTGGATGAGAGCTCAAGGGTTGAGGAGCTTGACAGTGAGGAGGACGATATGTACAGTCGTCAAGATATGCGCATATCACAGGCAAGGCAGGCAGCGGATCGGGAGATCAATGGAGGATCGATTCGACGGAGGCGATTGGTAGAGTATGACGCGTTCTACGAAGACGAAATGGCTGCTGTCGATGAGATGGACTATGACCTACAGGATAGCATGGACAGCACGGTGGCTTATGCAGTGCAGTTGGCCATGAAGGACAAGGAGGAGCGACTGGTAGATCAGGCTCTCGACCGGATACGACACGCGCAGGTTCAGGGCCAGAAGAACGTGCGTTTATCGAAACGGGAGCTAGAGGCGATCGAACGCATGCGGACCGGGTCGAGAAGCGGAACCGAGCAAGATACCCGTGCCAACGCTTGGAAAGGGACGTTGTTTGACAATCGATACCTGAAGCCTCCTGAAAGTTCCAGCCAGCGAGTTGCAGGGGAAGCACCTCGTGGTGGTTCCTATGTGTCATCCTCCCCGAGAAAGCACAGCGTGCCGTCTCCCCTTGCAGAAAACAACAGTGCTTATGCCTTTTGGGCGCGCACTTCGGGTGCTTCTCACAACCCCGAAGCCTCACCCCGATCGCCATCTTCTCGCTCTCAGTCTAGTCACACGCCCCCTCGATCTCCACTTCGGCCAGCTTACTTATTGGAGCGTTTACCAGCAGTACCTCTTGTTCGCAATCCTGGCTCCATGCGGAGGCCGGCCTTCACGCGTACTCTCCACGACGATACCCAATGGGTATCCTCCCATCGGCCCCTTCATCCTATAGAATCTCCGTCGTACCCGCTAGATCCTCGACGCGACTCGGTCAGCCATTCAGGAAAGACATCAATATCTAGCTATCGGAATATTTTTGAAGATCGTCCTAACAGCGCACGGAGTGCGACTATGAATCAAGGGTGGCCGGGGAGAATGACGGAGCAATACCCCCGAGAGGATGGAGCAAATCGAAGCAGTGGGTTGGAGGACAGTAGCGATGAAGTGCACATAGTAGACGTGTTGGAGCGGCGAGTGCCGCTTGGCATGCCAACGCGGGTGCCAGTTGGGAGAGGAAGTTATCATCGCGGCAGTCGTCCCTAAAGCTCCGTAAGCTTGTGCCTGTAACCTATGAGGCGTGTCCTGGAGACTTGTTTAGATTAGAGTGTCCTTTAGCTATCCGACTCAAAAGCAATTGTCATTGTCACCGTGCGATGCGAAGATCCTAGCAGGTACGTGGATACGTGGTAACTTCTTTGGCGGTGTGGATCAAACAAGGAAGAAGTACCAACGTAACTGGTTCACGACTAGCCTAGGAAGTGGGTTTAGAGTCAGCATATGAGAATGGATATGAATATATATATACATGTATTATTTGAGCGTAAGTATAGTAACTGAGCGGGCTGCCTTCGGATATAATCACCTGACCTAAGAAAGAAAAGGGAAGGGGATAGAGAAAAGAAAGAAAAAAAAGGAGGCCTCTCGAGTATAAACAAATCGGAGATGAAGAGATTTGCTAAGCTTGAGCTAAGCTTGAACATGGAAAGATTTGCCGGAGGGGGAAGAGGAAAATTGCGACGATGACGTCGACGAAGCCTGCGGAGTGATGATGATGATGAAGAAGAAGATGATGATGATAATGCTGAGTGAGATGTTTGACTACTAGCCGACTAAGGAACCTTAGCTAGTACGAGTAATGCTGCTCGGTGGGTCTCTCTTCCTTCTCATCGTCGTCATGGATCTGTTTCCTGCCTGAGCAATTGATTATTGATAATCACCTCCTTTCCCTACCCTCCTCTCCTCTTTCCCTCTTTCCCTATCATCTTCGTCGTCTTGTGTTTGTTCGTTCCAAAATCCCCTACACCAATCTAATTAATCCCATCCAAGGCCTGCTCCCAGGTTCAAAGCTTGGTACTGCATCGGCAGGCTTAAGCCACTTCCGCCCCTTCCGTTCCAGCCGATTGCTTGAACGCTCCCAAGGTGTACGTACTGTACTAATTCCAGTACTGTACTACTCATCACATCATTAAAACGGCCTCAAGTCATTATTCCTCGTAGAAAACGGGAAAACGAACGGACAACAGTCTCGTACAAGGCTTCTTACGGCGCATCGATCGCGGCGCAAGGATTTGATACATACCTGACCATGTGGATCATCTCATTTTGGGTCTTTCCAGTCATTTCAGCATGCACCTGGGTTGGTACGTAGCTCATCTTATCCCACCGCAATATTCAGGCACGATCGCTAACCATTTGGTTGCTTGATCCAGCCATGCTAATTGCCATGTTGGCAACCTGGGCTCGAGAAGGTAGCCCTATATACGCCAGTATGGAAACCGGCCAAACAATCGCGTGAGTCTATACCCTGTGACTGTCGTCAAGACAAACCACACGAGCATCGATCTCCAGTTTTCAGCCCCCAGTTCACGAACTAACGGGACTATCTCTGGACATTTATAGATATATCTCCGACATTGGTGCTCAGGGCCTCAAGCCCCTTTTCATTGCAGGGAGCTGCGTGACTGTCGCCTTTCTCGACCTCTCCTTTCTCTCCGAACGATGGCTTCGTCACGCAGGGCAGCTGGTACCCAACAAGGGTCTGTTTGATAAAAGCTGTGCGATCGCCTCCATCTGCTTCTCGATCGCCGGTGCACTGGGTTTGATTCTGCTATCAATCTTCGATACGTTGCGGCATCCGCATATGCATGACGGGTTTCTGGTGATGTTCTTGTAAGTCCTATTCAACGTACCAGCAAACCGCAGCACATAGCACTGTTGGAACACGGCCGGTGAAAGAAGCGCGCATTGGAAAGAAGCCAGGAGTTGCTAACGCATTTCGCCTTACCATTTGCCAGGGTGGGCTACCTCATCAGCGCAATCCTCATCTGCTGCGAATACTGGCGGCTAGGGATTTTCTACCGCTCCCAGCATCGTGTCCTCCTGGCCAGTTTCATCATCAAGCTCTCCTTCGTCATTATCGAGATTGCGCTGGCCATTGCGTTCGGCGTCTTGGGAAATAAGGGCGGACATTATCGCAATGCCGCTGCGGTCTTAGAATGGGGTAGGTCATATGGTAGTGATCGTGCTGAAATTGAACGGGATAACTGACAGACGGTACCTGAACTACAGTGATCGCTTTGATTTTTACGTTCTATGTCCTGTCCTTTGTGGTTGACTTGTTGCCCTCGGTTCGCACCCGAAAACACGTGCCGCAGGGCGAGAAGCGCATCGAGATGGGCCGGAACGGACACGCCCATGTCAGCAACAGCAGCGACGAAGGGACTGAAGAAGTACCCGTCACCACCGACTCGGCCGGACCCAATGCCAACTACTATCGCGGTCAACGGATTTATTAGATAATCGTTCAATTTCTTCCACCTTGGAGAGTTCGATAACCTTCAGTGCACACACACATATATATATATATATATATTCACACATGTGAGACGAGAGCATAATGTCATGATACCCTGTGAATTGGTTTTGAGCAGATGGAGTTTTTTTTTTCTTTTTGGCATATCTCTTGACCCTGACTGTTCTGTCTTCTTGAGTCTGGTGTGATCATCTTGGATGTCATTTCTGCCTAATTCTTGTATTTGGAATGCATGATGACTTACCAGTTTTTACATGATATCAGACTATCATTGCGTATATGCCATGCTTCAATTGTTGTACTTAGTTGCTTCCCAATTGTGGTTTTGTAGAGAGTCGTCTAGATTCTACCCATAGGGTTTTTATTCTATCATGCTGAACCTAGCCTAAGATGTATCATGCGAGTAAACTTTTCCTGACTCGCTCCAGGTCTAGTTGGTCCACGCCCACCTGTTTCAGATATCCCTCCACGCCCCCATACTTAGTCTCTAGATGCGCACAGATCTGTGCAGTAAACCCATCGGGACATTTGGTATAGTCCTCTGACAGCCCTAGCATGCGGATCTCTTTCATCCGCTCCTCCACCTCGACGACCAACTCTCCCTCGGAGAGAACATAGTCGGCCCGGATGGCTTCTGGGGTTACAGCACCCGTCAGAAGCAGAAGGAGAAGAATGATCAACCCCGTGCGGTCTTTACCCTGAGTGCAGTGGACGAGAACAGGGTAGGGTGAGGCGGCAGACGAAGGATCCGTGCTACTATGGGCTGTGCTGAGTTCCGAGCTAGCCTGTGTCTCGCTACCGGCAAGCAATTCGAAAATCTCTCTCATCTCGCTGAAGCTACTATCGAGGGTATCGATGCCAAGCCCGATGAGGCCGCGTGGAGACATGACCTGCTGACCCACGATAATGACAGCGTCGGCCCGGTAGCCGGATGCTGCAAGCGTAATGACTTTTCTTGGATAGGTAAGACTGGTTAGTCTGTACTCCGTCTGGTTTGCTGCCGCCTGCGAGTTCCCCCCTCTTTCGTTCTTTCTTTTCTTGTTTATGTGGTGGGTATTGGGGGCCAAGGACCTGTCAAGAGGTTCCCCGACTTCAAAAGAGGGAAGGGAAAGGGAAACCCAGGAAGAGAGGAGGGAAGAGATGGCGGGAAGAGGGGGGGGGGGGACAAATTACAGGAAGTTCCACCAATCAAGGCGCCAAAGTAAAGCTCGCTCAAAAGCTCTGCCGGTGAGACTGACCAGCCTACGTTGGACATGTGGGAGGTCAACGAGGTGGATGTCATCTGGGCTGGAGGAGGAGGAGGAGGTCGTGGGAGGAGGAGACGTGGGAGATGCAGTTGCAGTGGTGGGATTGGCATGGTCGCTAGACTGATTGCAGGAAGCACGGGCGATCTCCAACTCAGAAAGGCGTTTCGTGGCGGCCATGTGGTGTTCGGTACTGGGATCCAAGGGCTTTAGTTCCTGGGCATCATGTATCCGTGTCTCAGACGCCTTCTGGGAGGGGTGAAGTTACGCGTGCACTGTACACCCACCTGGATCGAAGGTCAATAATGGTGGAGATATGGTACTCTTCAGTCAGACGACGCTTGTCACGCTCGGAGGCTTCGTCTAACTAGATTACATGGAGAAAGAGGATTTTAGTTCCACTGAGGTGGTCTGGAGTGGTTCTCCTTGGATCGAGTAGCTGGATCATACAGTACTCTGGCGGGAGTGAAATCTGGAATGATAGACAGGGATAGGTACTGTACCCTGGCACTTCGGAAGAGAAGACCCTCTTTGATTACCCTGTGCAGGAGTTGTTAGCAATGCGTTGTAGGCGTCGTTGTGCTGTACATACCGTCGACCGAGCACCTCGTTGACGGTTCGGCCAACATCCCGAAAGTTGATGATATTGTCAAATGGTCGATCAGCCGAGTCGAGGTCAATACTCGACTGGCGGAGGTGGGCTATGACCATCGCTTAGAGGGGAAGATTGTTAATCAGAATTCGGAAGTATATGTTTGTGGCCGTGGAGACTAATCTAAACCATATACGAGAATGCATGCAACCATGCCGAGCATGCCAGGGGATGAGGAGATGGGGAAACGTGAAGGAGAGATGGATGGATGGGAGCGGGAGTGGATCGGGGGAATGTGAAACCGACCAGTTGCTCTTTAGGCCTAGTCTCAGCCTCACGCTCTTCTTTATGATCATTAGACACAAACACTAACTACTACATTACATACAATTATAAAATATCAGTTATCGACTTATAGTCCTCCGGGCTTATCCGGCATTAGATTTATTGTACTGTACCCAGGATCCTTGTACCCTTTAGACGAAAAGCAGCCTCCCCAACCCCTTATAAAAACCTAAAGAAACCGGACACGACGAAAAAGAAAGAAAAAAAAAATCCCATAAACACTAACCGTGAACCATGAACCATGAACCATAAAACAGGATTAGTGACAGAACTAACTAATAGACGTTGACTACAAGATTGAGTTGTGGTCCTCTCAGATTAAGGTATCGGAACCAGACAAAACGCCCACAGAGCGGCAGGCACCAGAGCGGCAGGCACCAGAGCGGCAGGCACCCAGCTTCATTCTACAATTTCTCGGAAAAGCGCGATTCTCGGCCCGTGCCATCGCTGGTTCGATTCCCCACCGATGAGGGTAGAACTTGGCCATGTTCAGGCACACTTGCCTGTCGGTCTGCTCCCTCTACAGTATGCTTTGGGATTGCCTCCGAGCTTCTTCGGGCGACGTCATGCTTGACAGCCCCACCAGTCTTCGCCTCGGTTGAGCTCCTCGAGACCATCTTCTTGAAGCCAGACATCAATCGGTTACGACTGGTCTCATCAGCCGGCACGTCTTTGGCATTAGAAGCGTGTTGGACTGCATCCTCATCGATACGACTAGGTTGCTCTGCACTGCCATCATCGATGGATATTGCCGTCATGGGATGGGACTGAAGCGCAGCTTTTTGTGGTTCCTCGTCCAAAGCCCCTTCTTTGGGTGCTTCAACCGTGGCAGGAAGCTCTGGCATCTCAGGAGATATACCCTCTGGATGAGCAATGTCCCATGCTCTTCCTTCACCACCTTCAGTAGTTTGCGGTGGCTCGGATGTGCTCGAAGCCTTAATTTCTTTGGTCTTGCTTGCGCCCAATGGCCCAGCTGTTTCTTCGAGTCCTGTTTGACCTGCGACATTTGCTGTTTGTGGCACGTCAGTGCCTACTTTGGCTTCCTTCGACTCTCTGGGGCTTTCAGCCTGGTTCGAGCTTGTGCGGCGCCCCATGCGACCTTTGAACCACGACCTGAACTTAGATTCTGGTTTGGTCACAAGCTCGCTAGAAGTGGGCTCGGCTACCGCACCAGCAGCACTTGCATTGACATCATCATTGGCGATTGTTTGTGGTGCAGATTCAGTGGCTGCTTCATCGACCACTCCTCCTGAAGTGCTAGCAGCAATATCTGACTCATGGTCGGAGAAGCGCTTCGATTTTCTTTTCCATAGCCAGCTCTTTTCATCTTTAGACCTGTTCTCAAGTCTCAAAGAATCTATAGCGAGTTAGGGACCTTGTAGCGGTGCGACACTCCTTTCAGACAAATACTTACCTCGTAGACGTTTCTCTTCAGCTTTGGTCTCTGCTTCGCGTTCGCGGTACATGGCTTCTCGACGCTGGGCTTCTTCCTGGTCCAGTCTTTGCTCCAGCTCTCTTGCGCGTTGATTCTCGGCTCGGTCGGTGATTTCGTCGAAAGTGGGCTGTAGCCGAGATCGAGCCAGCGCTTCCACATCGGACATGTCCACAAAGCGTTTGGAACTGATATTCACTCGATCAACCCCTTGGTACTGTGAGTCTGCTTCCTGCCTCTCCTGCCTTTCTAGCATGGCACGTGCCAATGCAGCCTCTTCGATCTCCTTCTGCATGGACGGGGGTGCGCGACCGGTTTCCGCATAGACCCTCATCTCCATGTTTTGAATGGTGGCATCGACGTTCTTCCTTGCCGCTTCCATCAAGAGTGCACGGTCCTGTTCCCTTCTTTCGTCTACGGCATTGAGCTTTGATCGAAGACTGGACATTTGGTGCCGGATCTCCAATGTTCGATCAGCATCCCCACTGGAGACATCCGTGTCAATTGAGGCTCGGCGTCTGCGGGGTTGCAAGCTGGACCGAGTGGGCTGAGGCTCAAGACCATAATATTCCCGGTAGATGGCTGTCTCATCCTGCATGCTGGCGAGCTTTTCAGCCGCGCGTTTTTCGGCGGCATCTTGCAGACTGAAGGCCTGTTGGAGAACTATGGGCTCCGCGCCAGTGGGTGGACGCTGTGATCTCGTTCGAGCATGGCCTACCTGACCTTGCTCCTTGGCCTCTACCGCGGCATACATCTCCCGGGCCATGGACAGAGCAGCAGCTTGCATAACACTTCTCCGCTTGTGTTCCTCCCGCTCTGGAGAGACCGGCGGGGATGCAGTGTAGAGACGCGCATTCGTGTTAGCGATATGTTGGATCCTGCTTGCCTCCATGGAGCTGTCAAGATCTCCAAGGGCCTCATCGGTACTCATTCCTGGGTGGGGGGCATCAAAAGGTGCCGAGTCGGCTCGCCTCCGGCTGCCGCTCAACGCACCGGTGGCGGCACGAAGGGCCTTCTCTCGATCATCTAAAACACGCCCAGCGGTTGAATCTGCTGCGATCAGGTCTTGCTTCAGATCAAAGGAAGTGGGAGAGCGCGTCGAGGGTGAACGACGGTTCCCAAAGACATAGGCGGCTGCCTTATAACCTTCCCGGCTCGGAGAATCCGAGGTTCGCTGATGCTCAACGACCGGGATCGCGGCCGCTTCCTTTCTGGCATGGGCGAGGGCGGCGACAGCTGACGCATGGCTGAAGCCAGGGCGAGAACCAGTCGCTTTCAAGGCTAAGGTAGTGAGGTGTATGTGTTAGTGAGGAAGATACGATCAATTTGCAAGATCAGAGTTACTCACTCAAGCGTTCTGTTTCAGCGGTGGAAGGCTCACGCACCGATAGTCTGCGCTCCGGATGGGTCACATACAGGGCAGCCGTGGCAGCTGGGAAGGAATTAGTTGTTTCATTACCACAATAGTTATAACTATTATTATTACGAAATGCTGGGGCATGATAATCTGATGCAAGAGGAGCATTAAGCAGGGCGATCGGGTGCGCCGATCTTACCTTGACCCGCCAGACGCACGGAGCGGGAACGCGGTAGCGTGGTGGTAGTGGTAGAAGTAGGTCGTTCAACAGTGGCCATGATAAGATAACGACCGTCGTGGGGAAGCCGAACAAGACATTACTTGGTGAGAAGTATCGCCAGGAATAAAAGGAAGAGGGAGAGAGGGAGAGAGTTTTGAGGGAGAAAGATAGAGGGGAAGAGAAGAATAAAGTTTTAGAAAAGAAAAAAAGAAGAGTGTGTGAGTAAGAGAAGAAGGGAAGCTCTTTCGGAAGGAGGGGGAAGAACATCATGGGTAATGACGATGATCATGGAGGATCGACTGTAACCCAGCATCAATCAGTCTTCGGAAAGTATGGAACGTATGCGCCGGGCCCATCCGTGGATATGGAGAAGAGAGTGTAAGAGGGTAAGAGGGTAACTAGAAGGACCAGGAGAGAAGAAAAAGTGACATCAGCTTTCCCGGAGCTGATGTCATCATGAAGAGTGTTACACACCTACAGCGACAGCGACAGCGACAGCTACAGCTACAGCTTACAGCTACAGTGTCCGTTTGCATGTAAGGTAGTTACCGACACGGAGAGAATGTGTCAGTTCTTCCCAAGTTCCTTTCCTCCTGCAGCTCCTTCAGCCTTACCAGTTGACTTCTCAGATCGACTAACTTGGTACTAACTATAATTGACAAGTTCTCTCCAGTACGTGGATGTAATTCACCTGGTGCCTGATTTCTGAAGCAAGACAGACAGGGCGCGCAGGAAGAAAATAAAAAATAGAAAAATAAAAAAGAACAAAAAGAAGAAAGAAGAAATTAGAGGTGTTAAAATTCATTTTCTTGCTCTTTTCCTCTTCTTTTGGTAAATCTGATTTTCATTCCTAGTCTACCTACCTCTCTTTCTTCCTCCCTGCTCAGCCTCGGGATGGGGCTATAGCGGGATTAATTTAGACAAGTTAAGGCCATCCCAGCCCGCAATGGCATGGCATCATGCTCTTTCCAAGCCCTGTTATTCTTATTGTCCTTGTTGTAAATGTAAATGACAAGGCCACTTCTTTCTTTAGTTTGTTGCTAGACTATCCCCAATCCCCATCTAGCTAGACCAAGCAATTTTATAAATTTCACCTTGTTTCTCGTATCCACCCCCTCTCACTCATTAGGATTGTCGATTAATCTTTTATCCTCTCTCTCCCTCTCTCTCCCTCCCCCCGCACACTTGCATTCTCACCCTCTTACACCCAGAGCAGTCATTCGCTAAGCCCCTCCTGCCTTCTTCTTCCCTTCAGTTGCTTCCTCTTCCTCTTCCTCTTCCTCTTCCTCTTCCTCCTCCTCCTATATTTACTAGTAGTAGTAATAACCGAAGATCAAACAAACAAAAAAAAACACACCGGGCTTTACTGCTACCAGTTCTCTCTTCCCCATCCTCCTCCTCCTCCTCCGCTCCACACCATGTTCTGGTTTCTCTCTCACCGCCGCCGACAACAACATCAACAACAGGCCTTGCTCCCGTTGTTCTCCCTTCTCTCCTCGGCTTCCTCTTCCTCTTCTTCTTCATCTTCGAGCTCAAGCCTCCAAATACGTAGAGTACTAAAAGCCCCTGGCCGGCCCATTGCGATTCGTGCAGATCAAATCACCGATACTAAGACCACTCTCGTCGTGCGCCCCCAAGGCGATGCCCAATCTGCCGTGGCGTACAAGATCGAAGACCTTGATGGAATCACCCTCTTCACCGCCACCGGCCGCAAGTTCTCGCACCGTCCTTGCCGCGAATTCCGCGATGCCTCGGGGCTTCCGCTGTTTGAGCTGCACCGACGCCTCTCTTTCCGCAACAATTGGTCCGTCACGCTCCCGGGCTCGTCCCTCAAGGATAAAACCTACTCTCCACTGGCTACGGGTTCGCGGCGTCGGGCAAGTCGCCGTTCGGCCGCCTCCTTTGGCTCGACCACGCGCGGGGGAAACTTCACCATCACCTTTGATAACGTCGCCGCCGTTGACGGCAAACAGCCTGAGGAACGGGTACTGACCCTAGAGGTACAGCGGCATGGGAATGTCCTCGCACTGTTCGACATCGTTGATGGGGATCGTAAGATCGCGGAAGTGAGGGAAAGTATCCGCCATAACGAAAAGCTGGCCTTGATGCCAGCCTCGCGCGTGGGCTACAGGCCTGTGTTGGATGTCATTGTGACTCCCGGGGTGGATTTGGCTTTGGTACGTTAGCTTGCTCCCAACTGGCTGAGCACGCGCAGAACAAACTGATGGTGATTTATTTGGTGCTACAGGTTGCGACCATCGCGGTCATCGCGTCAGACACAGTTTTTGCATCGAATTATTGATTTTTGTTCAGCCAAGGCGCATGGAAGAAGCACCTGATTCTAGATGCCAACAACATTTATGATTTTCACGACCGACTTATCATATTTGCAATTTTGGATTCTTTTTATGGATGGGCGTTGTGATCGACTGCACATTGAGCAATTACATGCTTTCTTTCCGTCTGGCGCTGGCGCTGTCTTCGGAGTGTCAGGTTTTTCCTGCTGGTCTAATTGTTGGAGGCAATTTGTCTCCTAATGTGCTATTATGAGTTGAGAATGACAAGACCTGTACCGTGTCCGTCCCGAGGAAAGTCGTGCCGTTTCATGAGATTACCACAGATGCAAGATCTTCAGTATATCGTGTTGGTGAAAGAAAAAGCGGTTCCACTTGCCGAACAAATCTACCTTCCAGTCAGCAGAGCGGCTCGATCTCAACATCATTGGTAGCAAACAAGGCAACCTACACATAGAAACACTGAGAGCACAAATAGCCATTTGAATGCTGCCAATCGCCAAGAACGCTGGCCGGATCCCATTTTTTAATAGCCAATCGTAGGCGAAAAAAGTCAGCACAAAACTGAACAGGTTCTTGAACACCAACATGCAGGTGAACGATTCAATGGCAATGTTTCCTGTTATTATTCGTTATGAGTTGGCTCAGACCACCGGTACATAGCTTCACTCACGATGTGCATCCACAATGTACAGGGCGCTGGACACCGCGCCCATCACCATCCCGATGATGACTAACGCGAAAAAGGCGTCCGCTACGAGCCAGCCGTAGCTTGCAATATCCTCAGCAACGAGGCCGAAGCCAAACAGCCCGGCCCCGCTGAATATCAGCTGGAAGATGACCAGGAGAATCCGGAACTCGGGTTCGTATCGTCCTCGGTTGAATTTGATCACAATCTGGTTCATCCAATCGGACAATAGACCCGAGATCACCAGACCCAGAATGGATCCAATGAATGCACCAGTGTAGAGATAACCCGTCTGCACTTCGTTAAACCACAGTGGAGGACCGAGGAAGATGGCCGCCAGGACCACGCCAATGAAGACAGTCCATCCGATAATGACGCCCTGGATCAGACATGCCTATAAAATCTTGGACGTCAGGAAGCTGCTAAAATGATCTCGTTTCTTGCAGGTGACGGCTTACCCAGAGACTGGCTGGGTGGAAAAATAGGGAAAATGGACGCAGAAGAAGCTTGTAGAAGCTTTCGTCGGTTTTCCGGCCATTGAAGGGTTTGAGAGTCTGCAGATAGGGAACCTTGGCGGGGGGCTCAGTCTCAGCTGAAACATCTCGAGGTATTTCTTTGGACGTGGAACTTCTTCTATGTCTTCCTGTGGTAGAATGTGCATGTTGCACTGGTCCGCCTACCTCGCGACGTACTTGGATAGCATCATCGCCGGCAGGATCGACTTGTGGTAGCGGGCTTTCAACAGTCTCCGAGCGGCGGCCATGTACATAGACTGTTTCCATGCCCAGCTCGCTCGGGCGCCGAAATGCAGTTTCAGGGACGCAAAAGAAGGTAAGAGGAAGTGCTGCCGCCGTGAAAATCGACACCAGATAGAATGTCCATTCCCAGCCCAGACTATGGGTGATTTTGCCAGCTAGGACAGGTGTGAGGAAAGCAGCCCCGAACAAGGCAACGTTGGACAGTGCCATCCTCTTGCCCCGCTCCTAAGAATTCATCTCCTGAGCGCCGGACTCGAAATCTATCAGACATAACAACAATGGGGAGAAACTCACATGAACGTGGAATAGGTCCCCGACACAGGCATTGACCAAAGCTTCGAAGGGTGCCAGCGCAACACCTTGAAAGATCCGCGCCCAAAGAAGGCTCTGGTGATTATGCTTACTGGCCCCTGCCCAGGCACAGCTCGCCGCCATTAGAATATTTCACAATAGAAACAGATGGCGCTTGCCCCAGACGCGTGCGGTAGGCACAATGAGGATCCCTGCAACCCCCACACCGCAAAGATGGTATCCTGTAAGAAGGGCGACCGATGTAAAATTCTTTTCAAAGTATAGGGCAATGGTTACAGTATTGGCCGCCATTAGTGAACTTGTTGTTGCGCACAGGACGGAGACAAAGCAGAGAGCGAACAGAATGCAATCGCGCTTCCACAGTGGCCAATTCTATGCCATGTTGTATTAGTCGATGCCACCTCGATCTTGAAATTTTTCTTCTTTCTGCTTATACGCACCAATGGATCATTGGGATCATCGCTGGGTTGTGGAACAAGAAGTATTGGTATCGAAGATGTGCGGTCATACTTCAGTCTAGGATCAGGTAGTTGACCATCATAGGAGCACTGCGTTTGAAAGATGTCTGATGTTCCTGCTCGAAGTCCTTCAGTCTCATCTATGTCATTAAGGCAACAAGCACAGTTTCCTACCTGGCACATGCACATCCGTTGTATCTGACACTCCTAGTCCCATTGTGACTGAAAAGAGTTGACCTGTTCAATGGTTTCTGAAGCCAGAGGGATATTCCCAGAGAGAGATATGCAGTGACTAGCAGCCTAAAATATGGTTGTCGACTCTGTCAAGGTGGGACGTGGGATGGTGACAAGTAAATATAAGTCTTTAGGTGTAGAAATGGTATCTCCGTGTACTGTCACTCGTCATTTTGTCTCTAAAAGGGACGAGGCATGAGAGAAAGAAACCTTGAACACCATGAGCCTTGCCAGGGATCCACTGGTTAACGGGTCAGCAGTAGCTGGAATCAATGGTCTGTGAGATGGTGGGAAACTGATTCAGCCGAAGAACAGAAAGAGGGCCAGTGACAGTTCCACAGTTTGTAATATTGCTGTTTGCTGGTGACAAAAATGCCATTGCAGTTCCCAACATTCTTCTACCGCAGCTATGCCCCGGTGTCAATCATAGGAAGTTTAATCTTTTGCTAACTTCACATGCATTTGGTCTGATCTCATGGAATGTAGTATCATTATAATGTACAGTTGAGTACACCAATTACAGTAAGTACACTCCGCATAATATTCCGGTCTCAAGGTCAGATAGGCGTGTGTTGCTGGTAAGAACCATCTACAGCAATTGGTTTCTCTTGGGGAAACCTCCTGCGCTCCTATAAACCCCTTGCTTTCCAGTAAGTGGTTGGTCCCTCACTAGCTGTATGTATGTACAGTACTGTACTAATGTAACTCGACTGCGGGACACACGGGGAACGCGGAGGTGTGGGGGAAATTTTTAAGATTGGAGCTCTAAAGATTAGCGCGGGCTGAGTGGAACCAGGCATACACTTTGTCCAACCAAGGTGACTGGTGCGTACTACCTCCCCTATTCACTATACTCTACTGCAAGTGTATATTGCCAATACAGTACTCAGTCAAAAAGCTCCGTATATAAGATGGGGTAGTGGTGGTAGTTGTAGTACTACTAGCACTAGTATTAACTTAGTATTAGTATTAGTTGCTAACTTATTAGTTAGTATTAGTAGAAATAATGGTTAGTTATTTATGCATACCAGAGCAACTTCCATGGATACAGTTGTCAAGCACTGCTTATAGATGTTCAGCCTTGAATATGACAGAGTCCCTGCTACAGATGGGCTTACTGCTTACACTTGAAATCGTATAGAAAACGGCTTTCAATGTGGTGTCCAAAGGCACATTGTCAAGTCATTTTCTCCTCTTGTGATGATAATGTTAATTAGTGTAACAAATCTGGTGTAGAGAGAATAGCAGTAGTATAACAGTGATATAATTAAACTCTGTCCTGAAATTTGTGGTTACTTATTAGCAATATTACAAAGCCTAGTTATTCACAGGTTTCAGAAGTAAGGAGCATGAGCGCCCGCGGCCCTCCGTAGCTTTTCTTCCTTCGCTTCTTCTGGTGTTACTGGAATCCTGGCTCCCTCTTCATCCCCTTTCTTCTCCTCAATCAATCCTTTATCTCTTCGGCCTGCGACCTTCTTCTGATATCCCTTCTGGAAGCTAATCCCCGCGTCGTCAGCATTACGCACTTGCGATTCAGAAATGAGGCTCTACTACATACCTATCACATTCCTCGCCGGCCTTACCTCGGTCGTGGCTCAAGGCATGGACAGTCTCCCAGTGTGTGCTGTAAGTGCAAGATCGTTCAGAGCCGTCGTGACATTCGGTTTCATATTGGCCGCTGTTTAACCGCCCACTAACGTTATGTACCGAGTCAAGAGAGAGTGTGCTACTGGCGCTATCCCCAAGACCTGTCAGTCTATTGACGTTGGCTGTATCTGCGGCACCAAGTCTTTCATCAGCGATATGTCCTGCTGCGTTGCCAAATCCTGATCACCTCAGGACGAAAAAGGTACATTGCACTTCTTTCCCGTCTGATACGTGGGATTCACATACTCTCGGAATATCACACCGGATGATAAATCACTCGCTAACAAACCTTGAAACCCCCCAGCTGCTCTCGGGTTCGCAGTACAGCTTTGCAGTGGTGCTGGTGTGACAGATCTGCCTAGCAGTGCGAGCTGTGCCAACTCGGTCACTTCGACTAATGCCACCAGCGCCTCTACCACCACTTCTCCCGTCAATTCCTCCGGTAACAGCACTGCTTCTGCCACTACCACCCTCACAGGCACGAAGACCCAGTCTACATCAGGAAACACCCAGCCAGTGACCTCCGTCAAGACAAACACTGGAAGTAGCCCTACTGCCACGGGTGGCGGTGTCCCGCTCTCGCCGTATGCTGACGCTAGTAACTTTGCAGCCGTCGGCATGGCTCTCGTTGCATTTCTTGCCTAGGGATAATGTACGTACATTGACATAACAATTTCGGATGAAGGCTTGGCGGGATGACTTTGTCATGGTCCCCCGCCGCCATCTTCTCGATGTGATATCTGCTTCAAGTCCTAGTCTCACGCTGGACTTTCAAGCCTCTGAGAACTGAATCCGTCTGGCGCAGCCCGAAGGAGGCCATCAACAATTGTGATATGTGGGGTGCGAACTCGAGCATGTTTTTCTGCCACGAGGCACTTACATTCCTAGCATTGCCTTGTATGTGCCATACATAGAAAAGCTATTGATCACGCTCTACAAATCGTGAAGCCACTGCTTGTTTCTCCTCCCGGATAGTAACGAATATCTAGCACGAGATATCAGTCTCATACGTGCAGTGCAAGTCTCGTACAAATCACAGGGAAGACGCCCTCAAAGCCAGCACTTAGTTCCGCAGGAGGAGAAGGAAAGATAGAGAAGGGGAGGGGAAAACCCACCCAGAGCCAGAACATCATCTCCATAAACACGAATGTGAAAATTGCCCGGTTCTTAAGCTGTGCCGATGCAGACGCAGCCCCTGAGTCCTCCATGATACCGCTCGCAGACGGCTGACTTTGGTAGATGAAAAATGAGACGGCGAAGAAGACACAAAAGCGTGTGGCGGAAAGGAACGTCCAGACTTCTGAGTAGAGCGAGCCGAGCCGAGCCATAAAGGGGTTCGCGCGCATAGCCCCTGCCACAGAGCCCGGAGCCTGAGACCGTGCAGCCTCAGCCATTGCAAGGACCTCATTGGTCTGCGGAATTTTGGAAACAAGGATGTAGTCGACCAGGGCGTCGACGATCAGAAGGATTCCGCACAGAGCAAAGGGGGATTGAGGACGGGAGAACGATGGAGATGCATCCTAGCCAGCAGAGGTAAAGAGAATCCATTAGCAACTACATGTTCTTCAGAGTCGGGGGGCTTGTTGGGGAACTGATATAACTACCAATTGCAGGAGCTCTCCTAGCATGAATACGACGTCGGAGTCGGTGATGACTGCTGGTGACCTCATCAAATGGACGGCTAGGAAGACTAGCAAAAAGGCATGAGCCTGTATGAGGGTTTTGGAGGATATGAAGCCCATTGCAGGCTATTGTGATCGGGAGCACATTCAAGTGAGTGTGATAGAGGTTGTCAGTGGTGTGAACGATGGAGTGGATTACCTCCTGACATATTGGGGTGTGTGATTGCTGTATTGTACACACGTAGCTTTATGTTTTGTCATCAGGAGCACGGGGAATTCGTCCGCCGGATGTGGGGCCGCCCTGGATCGAAGTTCCGCTCGCCGACGGATCAGTCGAGGAAGAAAGCAGTCCGTTATGGGGTCAGCCGTGCGTCTGCGAGATCATCGAGTCGATGGAAAGAGACCTTTGAGTTGTCTTTGAATACCGTCTGTTGTTCTACCTCTATTTTTACCCTCGAGCTACTGCAGGTTCTGAATGTCCACCTCCGAGGTTCCTTCGACCGAACTCCCCGCACCCGAACCCAGGAAGGTTCGTGGACCGACCAAGACTGACAGCATGAATGAGATCACTTTCAACAGGGAACGTCACATCAAGTACTTCCTCCGATGCCTCAAGACGTTTCTTCCAGAACCCTACACATCCAATGACTCCAGTCGCATGCTTCTCGCCTTCTTCACTGTTGCCGGCCTCGACCTTTTAGGCGTACTCCAAGACAAGACCACCTCCGAAGAGCGACAAGGGTATATCGACTGGATCTATCACTGCCAGGTGCCTACAGGGGGCTTTCGAGGTTTCACTGGGACAGACTTTGGGGTGGAATCTCGATCGCCAGTGAATGAAGCTTGGGATCCAGCCAATGTGCCGTCCACGTTCTTTGCGCTTGTCATCTTGGTTATCCTGGGCGATGATCTATCACGAGTGAAGCGCATAGAATGTCTGCAATGGCTCCCTCGGCTGCAGCGCAAGAACGGCAGTTTCGGCGAAGTGTTAGGGCCTGGAGGCAAGATAGAGGGAGGTGGAGACTTGCGTTTCTGCTGCTGCGCGGCAGGGACGAGATATATTCTAAGGGGACTTGGTGGCGCAGACATACAGGGGCTGAATGATATCGATGTATCCAAGATGGCAGCCTTCGTTCAGGCTTGTCAGGTTAGGGCTCCGACATACATTTGTGATCCTCTACCCGCACAGTCCACACATACCTTACCACTATTTCATGCGCTTGCTAACTGCATGGTACTTTCAGGCTTATGACGGCGGCATGGGAGAAGCACCGTTTTGCGAAGCACACTGTACGTTTGAATCTCTCAATAACTCCTTGATATTGATCACCCGACTGATCGGGTTGTAGCCGGCCATACCTATTGCGCGATGGGCGCTTTGTCCTTTCTAAGTCGAATGGAGAGGAATCATCCCCTGCCAGCAGTACTCTCACCTGGTGCGATGGAGTTCGAGTCCTTGGTCCGTTGGTTGATCTCCCGACAGACGGCCGAGCTTGGTGAAATAGAGGAAGAGTCTGATGAGGACGACGAAAAGTGTGAGACTGGTGAAGGTCAGAAACCATTACCAGTAGCGGCAGGCCAGGTTGTCAACCCTGAAACAGAGGTGGATGAACTCCCTGCCCTTTTCCCGCCAACAGAGGAGTCATTGCGATGGGCTGGCTTTAATGGCCGATGCAACAAGAACGCCGACACATGTTATTCTTTCTGGAATCTGGCGACTCTGGCTGTGAGAAACACTGTGTCTTAATACTCGATGGGCGTTATCTGATTTGATTATTGCGCACAGATGATGGACCGGCTAGCGCTGGTCGAAGCGGATCGAAACCGCCAATATCTCTTGGACAAGACGCAGCACATCATTGGGGGGTTTGGGAAAGGCGTTGGGGAACCACCTGGTGAGTTTCCTCTTTCCAAAGTTCCTTATTCGGCTTTTCCCACTCACTCATTACCGCCCTGCAGATCTTCTACACTCCTACTTTGGCCTGGTGGCCCTTGCGTTTCAAGGCGAAGAAGGGCTGGACGATGTTGATCCAGCGCTGTGTATCAGCCAACGGGCACTAGACCACCTGCACTCTCTTCCCTGGTGGCAAGAGAATATTTGAACCAGTAGATACTAGACTGACGGACAAGATAACGGGGTGCTGGGGACAGTGCCCCTGATCGTCGGCCAGTTTCACTACCCACGATTGGTATATAAATCAACGGACGAGACACCGTGCCCTAGCTCCAGCACGTTCATTAGTTGCTCCAAATTTCGATGTTCGCTGGCGGTCTTGACGACCGAGTATGGGACTCGGAAGATGCAACTGTTATAAACTCAGTGCCGCAAAAGACAATGATGGTGTGACGTGGAAACCATTGGTGACAATTGTGTATGTGGCAAATTAGGTGGGAAGCATTTAGCAGTTTCAAATTGATTTTGGTCAGGGCAGGGGAGCGAAGGGGGTGGGGGTGTGGGGAGGGTGATTGTTGAGGTTGTTCAGTCTAAGGGGTTTTCGCAGTGTGGATGTGAACCATAGTGTAGTAGTTTGGAGTCAATACTGGCTAAATCAACTGAATACTGTACGGACGTAGGTAGTGTATTCGAGCCCAAGAGAGGGAAATTAAACTTACAAGGAACGACTGCTGGGTAGACTAGCCGTTAAAAATCATGGATGATGAGATGATGAGTTGAAAACGGTTTGGCTTCAGGGGTTGGAATGAGGTCTGACTCGCTGCGCAACCTAGGCTATACCACTTATGTGCCTAGTAACTTATACTAGGTACTCCGTACTCCGTACCTAGTAGTTACTAAGTCATTCGAATCGAGTCGAGTCGAGTCCTCTCTAACTTACTGTACATGTACAGTATTGTATGTACCTACCCCAGGTGCTACCCAGGTCAGACACGGGGCGGAAGGAGTCTTTTGGGGAGCAGGAAGGACGGAGCTGAGCTGAGCAAAGACAAGTCAAGAGGCTTGTTTACTTTTAGATACATATTGGCTTACACGTTGAGGTCATTGCATAATGATGATAAATGCCATGGCACCAGTAACTTACTTAGTAGTCCATGTTCCCACCCGGCTAAATTGTGGCGGACGGCTAAGAATGGAGAAGTATTACTAAATAGATGAACACTCAAGTGAGTTGTTGATGAGCAGGATAAGAACAGAGTGGTGAGCAGTAGGCATATAACTCCGACTCTTTATTTTAAGTATATATCAAGTTACTCAAATCAATCGATTGAAAATCTTGCCTGTAGTTTGGATATTGTGTAGGAGCAAAGTAGTCGAGTCGAGTTACGTATTGACTGATGTAGTAGACTACTAGGTAAGTCAACTACTCGTACTTTAATTAACTAACTTAGGTAACTTATTTAGTTACGTAGCTTCTTAATCATCAGTTATGCACATAGCTATCCCCTCACTCCCCCTGCCTGCCTGCTGTCGTCAGTGCCTCGCTCCTTCTTCGTCTCTCTCCCTCTCTCCTTCTTCGTCTCTTTCCCCTCATCATTGCAAGCCCAGAAAAAAAAAGCCCGCCTCAACCCACTATTCTTCTTGATTCTTTCCTTCACCTCATTGAATTTGAGTATATTGTCCCTCCTTTACCCCCCCCCCCCCCCCATCTCCTCAATGGTAGACTGAACTTCACTATTCATATGGGACTCGGTGCATTTCAAACTATCTTCACATAGTACTCTTGCTCTCTCTCCCCTTTCGACCTTGCAGTCGTCTTCCCCCACCCCCTTCTTCCCGAGTCCCACGCCGACTACTTGTACTACTGGCAAGTGCCTATTTTGTCTGGTATGTGTTTGAATGACATAATAGGCCCTCTACTCTACTAAGTCATTCCCCCAGTGGCTCATCCTTCCTACTGTTCGTCAGTGATTCTCTCTTTGGTTGTTGCCCTGGTCAAATCCGCATACATTGTCGGGTTAGGCACAGCTTCGCTGACTTCTTGTCTTTTCTGTCTAGCCCCATTCCGTCATCCTTTTTGGTCTCCGAGCCCGATCAGCTTTCGGCTCCTGCGGATATTGTTCCAATTTACTTTCTTTTCTTTTTACTCCGACGCCTCGAGTTTTACTACATCAACTATAACTGAACCAAGCTTCAACTCTCGTCGTATTCTCTGCTTCAACTTCGAATAATCTCTCCCCCTACCGACTGCTCTGAACGTCCTGTCTCGATTAGCTTTCCTCCATACTTCTTCCCGTGGCGGCCGCGAGTTCCGATTCCCCTCGCCTGCCGCTCAAACTCCGTCCTCATTGTCGAACCTTAGTTCAACCTTGCAACCTTCTCTCGATACATAGCCTGCTGGATGGGTTTCCCGGTGGTCTAGTCTCTCAGGCAGCCGATCGATACAATTCTCCAAAACTTCTCAGCTCACCGGACATTTCCCGGCCAGGCGGAGATAAACGCTTGAAACACATGCCACCCCCTAGGACAAGAGCGGAGGTTCAAGCCCAGAAACAAAAGGAAAAGGTATGTAGAGTCGCTACTTGGCGTGCTTGCCCAACATACCGTTATTGATGACAACGCCTCTGCGTGGGGAGAGCTGCTATCAATACATACTTCTCATTGGAACCCCCCCCCTTTTTTTTTTCTCCTACATGATCTGTGCCTGGTACTAATGGAAATCCATGCGACTTGACAGCTTGCCCAGTCATATAATGAATTGTTAGAGTGAGTGCCTACCTTGTCAGAACCCCGACAACCTTGCTGACCAGACTTGATGATCGTAGGGAATTCTCCTCGAAAGACCTCGGTACTGTAGGCAATTATACACTTGGGCGGTTAATAGGAAAAGGCTCCTTCGGCAAGGTCTACCTTGCCTCTCATAAGTTGACCAATGGTTCTAAGGTAGGTCTCCTCGACTGTGCAGGCAATATGAAGTATGTATTAAGGCATGTTATATTTAGGTCGTACTCAAGTCTTCGAGTAAGGAGGACAGGAACCTGGCGCGCGAGATCCATCACCATCGTCAGTTTCTTCACCCCCATATCGCTCGCCTCTACGAAGTTATTGTGACAGAAAATCTGGTTTGGCTAGTGCTGGAATATTGTCCAGGTAGGTCAGCCTGGAATGTTTGCGATCTATGATTTTTGACACTGGTAGGTGATGAGCTGTACAATCATCTCCTTCAACATGGCCCACTTCCCGTTGAGAAAGTCAAAAAGATATTCACACAATTAGTTGGGGCTGTGGCATATGTTCACAGCAAGTCCTGTGTACACCGCGATCTCAAATTAGAGAATATCCTGCTTGACAAGCACGAAAATGTCAAGCTTTGTGACTTCGGTTTCACAAGAGAATATGAGGGAAAGGCAAGCTATCTGCAGACATTTTGTGGCACAATATGCTATAGTGCTCCCGAAATGCTAAAGGGGGAGAAATATGCTGGCGAGAAAGTGGATGTTTGGAGCTTAGGAATCATATTATACGCTTTACTTGCGGGCGAACTTCCGTTCGATGACGATGATGATCAAGTCACCAAAGCTCGCATCCTCAACGATGAGCCGGCGTACAATGAAAGATTCCCCGAGGATGCCAAAGCTCTCATCAATCTGCTCTTGTCAAAGCGACCTTTGATTAGGCCGGGCTTGGGTGAAATTCTCGGACATCCATTTCTCGCCGAGTTTGCTTCGGAACAGCTGGCGATTCTGAAGATCCCACGTCCGGCGCCATTCTCAACCCCGCTCGAGAAGACAACATTGCAGCGCATGAAGAGTGCGGGTTTGAACATCGATGATGTTGTGGAAAGCGTCCTCTCTCAACGATGTGACCCACTCGCCGGCTGGTGGGCATTGCTGATAGAAAAAGAGCAACGCAAAGAACGAAAGAGGGAGCGTAAACGCCGAGAACGTGAGGCTGAGGCCAAAAACATTCGCCGGCTCAGCGCAGCGAGCAGTCGGTTGGAGAAGATTTCCGCAGCCTTAGTTGAAGTGGATGAGGAGGGGCACGCATCATCTGATGGCCCTCTCCATGAACGTGGACGTAGGAACAGGCGGAGCTTACCATCCCAGCTCACTGTACCAGAACTACCCATGCTCCCTGAGCCAGCTCCCGTGCAGTCTCCAGATTCTAGCGTGCCCCCTCCGCCCATTGACAAGGACTCTGTTCGCTCCGCTAGTTCCACTCGACCTCGTCCCGTACCGCCTCCCAAAGATCAAGCCCGGCGGCCGAGCACCTTGCACGCCAGCGCTTCGCAACCGGAACTGGCGCAACACAACGGCCTTTTCAGAAGGCGTACTGGTCGCCGTCAGTATCCGATCATAAGTCAGCTGGCCTCTCTCAAGCACTGGTTTGTGGAGTCTGCAAAGAGGGCCAAGTCACCGCACGCAAAGGCTACGAGTGCCCAAGGTGGGCATCGCAAGTTTCTTTCGGAAAGATTAAGCCCAGGAAAAGGACAAGAGGCTGGAAAGAAGCCGACATCGCCATCTGCCGCCATTGGACACCAAGGTGACTTGTCGACACCGACCCAGATGAAACGCTCATCGAATGCTAGCAGCTTGGCTCCAAGCAGTGCCTCCTATCCGAACCACCGTCACTCATTTCCTCGGCAACCTCGACCACTTAGTACAGGTCAAACTCATCGAAATTCCCTTTCGCCCTCCCCAATAACTCCAAGGGGCTCTTATCGACGGTCGTCTGCAGGCTTGCGTGGACGCAAGTCGACATCTTCGTCTGTCTCGTCTATCCGCAGCATTCACCATACCCATACCCACTCTAAGGCCTCATCCGTATCCTCAAATAGCATTGGTTCGACTTCGACACCGACCGCTCGAATCACCAAATCACCACATTCTTCTGTGAAAGTCTTGCCCACGACACCAAGCGCCTCTGCTCGTTTCCCAAGCAATATTCGCTTGGTCCGAGGTACGCATACTGGATTTCGGGACATCGACGATCACAATGGGAGACTCCAATCAGTGTTCAACGAGGCAGCCCCGACCCCGCTACTTTATTCTCCTTCTTCGAGCCTTGTATTTGCCCGCCGCAAACGATCCGCATTCAAGGGCCCTATGATTCATACTGCAAACTTGATGGTATCTGGTGGTGTGCCTGCTTCGCAATATTCTCAAGTGGATTATGGTACTGAGGGTTCTGTTGCTGCGAATGCTGTTCGGCCTGCAGCACGGAAGAGTCAAATTATCGAAGAAGAAGAAGATCTAGAAGAAGATATCGAGGAGGTGGATACCTTCAGCGGCCTAGAGGATGATCCAGGATCACCAGTTGATCTGGTAAAACCGGACGATTACCTTGGACTTGAGCATATGGACGGATCGCCTCCTGAGCCAACTCGCAAACTCGCTCTAGCCCCTGCCCCGGACTTTGATCCTAGTCCTCGCCCGCCCCGCTCGTCCTCATTGTCAACGCCGCCGTTCTCAACGGTTCCCGAATAGAGATCACTGTGTCTGATGCAAACCTTCAATGAGACTGCTGTCAAAGCCTTCAGGCAACAGCAGCCGGACATACTAGATTTCATCTTGGCATGTTTCAATTCTATCTGTTCTCTTTGCATATTTCATCATATTTATACCCCCTTTCGCGTCTCTGCGGGCCAGTTTTTGATTTTCTGTGTTTCTTTTCCTTTTTGGACGATTTTCAATCTGTGACTGTTCGACAAAATGGCAACGCAATGATAAACAAGCCTGGGAAGGTGACTTTTGGACGCTAAAACCTTCATTTCCTATTCTCCTCTCCATTTTTTTTTATCCATTACCTTTCAAGGGTTGCCTTTGCATTTTCAAAAAACACCCCACGTCATATTTGCCACGCACTTCGCGCCGGTTTCTTTTGTATTATAATGTGATATCTTGCTCCACATATCTACCTAATCACCTACATACATATTTTGTCAGAGATCTGCCCATGTGTCCCTGACTGTGCCTGGAATTTTTGGAAGATGCTCAGTCTTATCAGTTCCCACAACCCTTGTTTACAGGATAATGACGGAGCCGCGTGGGGCTTAGTTCCAGTGACAGGCACTAAGTATATATCACGGTCCTCCGTGCATTGAAGATATAAAGGTAGATCAAACATACAAATGCCGATCCTAAATCACGGTATGAGCGAAATGCGTCCACTGCTGGATAAAAATGCTCCAATCCTTTTCACTATCCAATCTTGGCTGTGGTCCCATCCTCCACATCTTTAGTCATAACATTCTCCTCTCCAAGCCCAACACCACTGGAGTACACCTTGTCCACCGTTTCGCGGTACGCAGGCACGAGGTTCACTGCCCAGGCATACGACAATGCAACAACGAAAAACAAGGTCGGCACGATCATAGCAAAGCCCGTGTTCCGTGCGTCCGCCACTCGACCGAGAATTGGGGGTACGACTGCTCCGCCGCAGACAGCGCCAACAATGAGCCCGGAGGCCCGCTTGTAGTTCCTACCCAAGCCGCATATACCAAGCGCGACGATCGTTGGGAAGCAGACGGATTCGAAGAAGAGGGTGCAGAAGAGCATTGCTGGTGAATATATCATTGTTGTTAGTCAGCTCGGCATCCTCCGCGGCAGAGCCGGGGTATGAGAGGAAGAGCAGGAAGAAAGAGGAGGCAGAGGAAATGCTGGACGAGAGGTCGAGAGACAAGGGGCTTATTTACGAAGCATGCGTGCTTTTGGACGAAAAAATAGAACACGAGAGGCGAGGTGGGACGTACCGACTCCTGTCCAGCCATGTTGCGTTATCGAAGCAGCGATGAAAGCAACAGTGCAGGAGAGATAGACTAAGAACACCCAACGGGCTTTTGCAAATCTCATGATAATGGCACCAGCGAAGCGACCAACCGCAAAGACACCCTGGGCACCGGCAAGATACTTGGAAGCTGTGGCGCTAGATGTTCCGGGCCAGGTCTCGGTAACGTAATTGATGAAATAGCTTGCGATAGCAACTGATGTATGTCAAAAAAAAAGGTTAGGTGGAGCTCCAGATAAGGCAAGCATATGTATGCAGGCATGGGTTCATACCTTGTGCGCCTGTATAAGTAAATTGTGCCAGTGTGGCATGGAAGAGCTTATATTGCTTCCGGAGTGGCTTTTCCTGTTCGTCCGCGTGTGTCTCGGCAACCTGAAAGGCCATGTCCTCATCGGTCACTTCGGGAATCGAAGAGATGAAGAAAATGCCCGCAAGGATGAAGACAAAGATGCCAATGGCGAGATAGACCCACTGAACGCGCTTGAGGGCATTGACATCGTCACCCACGGAGGTGAAGAAGACATATGAAGCTAGCACTGGCGCCACGCAGGTTCCGATACCGTTGAAGGCCTGGGCAAGGTTGATACGCATTTCAGCGTATCTGGGTGGACCACAGACTAGAAACCCATTCTAGTCATCATTCCTCATTCCTCGCTCAAGCCATGAAAGGATGGAGCTTAAGGGGTCCACATATATTCCACTCACCAGTTATGTATGGATTGGCAGCCGTCTCCAGAGACCCCAAGCCGGAGCCAATAACGAAAGTGGCTGCACAGAAGCCTCCGAATGAACGATGCAAGCCTGCGGGCCACATGCACAGAGCGCCGATCCCATATAGAGTCAGCCCGAAGATGAAAACAGTCTTGTAGCCGAAATGGCGGAGCATGTAGTTCGCATAACCAAGGGACGCCAGTGGATAAGCACTTGAAGTTGTTAACCAGAGGGCCCTCTTCTTAACAGAGGCATATTAGTGAAAGAGAATGCTGACCCAAAGTAAGCTGCCTGGAGTCCGGAAGAACGTGTACGAGTGATGTGCATGGTATTCTGGAAATGCTTGTTAAGTGTGTCTAGTAGGCCATAGGCGAATCCCTGCAGCGCAAGTATGTCAGCGCTTACCACTACATATGTTCATCTCTTGCTCTAGAACGCTCACCCAGAGAAAGAAGAGTATGGTGACGAGAGTCAAGGGCCAGATACTCTGGCGCAACGTAAGGGTGGCAGCAGAGGTGGTTTTGCTATTATCGACCCGAAGCCGAGTCCGAGTCTTCAGGAAGTGCATGATCCCCATTTGGGCGCGACAAGGAGAAAGCAGCCTACCTGAGAACGGGGGAAGACGACAAGAGAGGAGAGAGGCAGACAGGACATGCACAGAGCAGTCTCTTGCGGATAAGTAGGTGATTGGGATTGTACGACAAAGCCACTAAAGAGCGAGGGAGGGAAGGAGGGGTATGTATGTGGCTTCTCCACCGACAATAGTCTTGAATTGCATCTCTCTGAGCCCAGGTCCCTTCTCATCATTTCCCCGGACTCTCTCCACAGAATCAAGAATGGGGAAATAAGGAAATAAAGGGGGTTGGGGACAAGGCCAAATCATCCGGGGGAATGTTCCAGTTGGTCAGGGTTGAGAGGACAAGATTGCAGCGGGCATTCTCACGATGGCCCCGGTTTCCCCGCAATTGAAATTTAGGCTGAAATTCATGATGAACCGGGTGGTCTCAAATCAACCTACTTAATCACCTATCATGGCGGTGTGTTCATTGGGGTGAATTAAGGCTAGTCAGACACTAGGGTGAAAGGAGGGGGTTGAGGACAGGGAGGACAGACAGCACTTGAAAAGGAAGACCAGCCATATATCCATGTCACGGGATTGCATTGTTTGTCTTCAAGCCATACGCTCCGCTCCATACTGCACAGTGGAAAATAATACATCTGACACATTCATCTATCTAGAACGGACTCAGTTGGTAAAAAAAAAAGTATTCAGCTAAGCAGGAGAACAATCGATTGCAAGTGAACAGGTGAGAAAAAGTCTAGGCACAGTGTCCACATGATGATACATGGAACAGAACTCACTTCGCTAGGCTCATCGCTGTAGATATCCGCGTCATCCTTCTCTATACGCCCCCAACCATCCAAAGGTATAGGTATATGCCATCAACTGCCCAACGGCAAAACAACAAACACATAGAATATGGAGGGACAAGAAATCTATATATCATCAAGGCGATCACCGACATCTCAGTCATCACTTCATCAACAAATCGTTCACGCCCTCTTAGGCTTGCCATTGAGTTCCACAGGTGCGACTGCGGGGATGTTGTTGTACAAGCGGCGCTCCATCACCTTTAGAGCCTCGTCGATGAAGCTTGAAACTGATCAGAGAGGATATTGCATGCCAAGGGAAACGGAGGAATGACTTACATAACAGGAGCACTGATAGCTAGGACCGCCTGCCATTCCTTCCAGCCCAAGGGCAGGATAGAGAACAGACCCTGCAAGAAGGGAACATAGAGGATCGCAAAGTGTAACGACATGGAGAGGATGATCGCATAGACGAGCATCGGGTTATTCGACAGGCCGAAGGTGAAGAGTGACTCGCTGGAGGAGAGGGCATTCATGGCGTTGAGCATCTCAATCACGACGAGGATCGAGAGCGACACAGTAGATGCAGATCGCGACATATCGTTGGTGAACATCTCACAACCAATCTCGGGGAACTGAGAGGAGCACTTGTGGAAATGAGACTGTGACAATGGATTAGAAGGTCCGTCAAATAGATGAGGGAGAGAGGCGGGGATGCGAATCTTACCAATTGCCAAAATGAGATCTGAGGCCCCTCAGGGTTGTACACAAACCACCAGACATAGCCGAAGACAGTAGCGGCACCGACGTAGGTACCAATCACCATGTACCTGAAAAGGAGCCAGCCGCCGACTAGAGGTTCATCACGCTTTCGGGGGGCGCGTCTCATGACATCGTGATCAGGAGGGTTGAACGAGAGGGCTGTGGCCGGCAACCCATCGGTGACCAAGTTAACCCACAGAAGCTGCACAGGGATCAAAGCCTCCGGCATGCCCAAGGCTGCAGTCAGAAAGATAGAGACGACTTCACCGATGTTCGATGAGATGAGGTACCGGATGAATTGCTGCGTGTTGCTATAGATCGAACGACCCTCTTCAACAGCCACGGTAATGGTCGCGAAGTTGTCATCAGCCAGCACCATGTCAGCGGCAAGCTTGGCAACGTCCGTTCCTGTGCCCATGGCGACACCAATGTCCGATTTCTTCAGAGCGGGAGCGTCATTGACACCATCTCCGGTCATCGCGACAACGTGGCCCAAGGATTGCAGGAGGTCAACGAGCTTGGACTTGTGGCTAGGCTCAGTTCGTGAGAAAAGAGACGCGGTCTTGACAGCATCGAGCTTCTCGTTGTACGACAGGCTATCGAATTCTCTTCCGGTAAAGCTTTTACCCTTCAAATCCTCATCTTCGCTGAAAACACCAATTTGACGACAAACGGACTCCGCAGTATTGCGATTGTCACCAGTAATAACGATGACACGTATACCAGCCTCCTTGCATTTTCTGATCGAGGCAGCGACTTCCACCCGAGGAGGGTCCAGCATCGCAACGAAGCCGATAAGCGTCATGTTCTGTTCCAATTGAGCGTAATCATCCGTGGATTTGGCATTGTGCAAGAGAGGGTTGTTTCCAATAGTGTCCACGCTAGCTAGTGCAATCACACGAAGACCACGGTTTCCATATCCAATTAGTTCTTCAGAGAGGCAATTGAGGTGATCCTTGGTCAGGGAAACACGCTTTCCGTTAGTACCAAGAAGTACATGGGAGCAGCGCTCCAAGATGGACTCCGGTGCACCCTTAACCAGGAGCTTCTGTTCCTTTCCGGTATCGACAAGAACCGACATACTTTTCCGATCACGGGAGAATTCATACGTTGCCTTGAGGGACAAGCGAGCTTCGTAATGAGCACTGGCGGCATGGAGCCTTTGGGCAGCTGGGAGCGGAAGCAATTTAGCGTTGATAGCAGGATCCTCGGTACCGATTTTTTCAACCAGAACGCGAAGAGCACCTTCAGTGGGCTCGCCGATACAGGAGAATGCGCTAGTCTTAGCATCATGAGCTAGGGTTGCGCTGTTGCAGCGAGCCATGACCTCCGTCATTTGCCGAATGGTAGATGAAGTGACAGCAACGTTTTGCAATTCCTTGCCCTGGAGCAAGATTTTGCCTTCGGGAGCAAAAGTCGTACCTTCAACGTCGATTTCCTCAACGCCATGGCCAGTCTCGTTGAGGTAAACAATCTTCTCGGCGCTCATTTGGTTGGTGGTCAAGGTTCCGGTTTTGTCGGAGCAGATCACACTGCAGCTACCCAGTGTCTCTACCGACGGAAGTGAACGGACAACCGCATTCTTCTGAGCCATCTTGCGTGTACCAAGAGCCAAACATGTAGTAATAACCACCGCCAACCCTTCCGGAATAGCCGCCACGCCCAGGGACACTGCAATCTTCAGGTAGTAAATGGCACCCTTAGTCCAACCACCGTGGGACGGATCGTTGAAGTGCTCAATGTTTATAATCCAGACAAGGACACAAATGACGGTAATCACCTTAGCTAGCATGTCACCGAAGTCATCGAGCTTCTGCTTCAGGGGAGTCGGCTCCGAGATCTGAGAGGTGATACTCTCATGAATATCACCAATGGCCGTCGATCCACCCGTCAAAACAACGATAGCAGTTGCGTGTCCATTCACAACGGTTGTACCCGAAAAGAGCATGTTAACTTGATCTTGCTTGACCGCTTGCTTGTCCTGAATGATACGAGCATCCTTGGCAACGCTCTCGCTTTCGCCGGTAAGGATAGCCTGGTCCACACGGAAACTGTTGCTGTGAATAGCGAGCAGTCTACAGTCCGCCGGGACACGGTCACCAACCGCGACGTGGACAATATCTCCGGGAACCAGGTCCTCCGCCTTGACGCGCTGAGTTTTGCCGTCACGCACTACTGTAGCTTCATTGGCGGAATATTCTTGAAGAGCAGCAATAGCTTTCTCTGCATTGCTTTCTTGAGTGACACCAACCACAGCATTGAGAATCAGAATGGTCAAGATCTAGTGTATAGCACAGGGTGTTAGTGGCGTCCCCATCGAAGTGCAGTTTTAAGAGAACATTCTAGCAACATACCACAACCGGGTCGACAAAGGCAGACCAATCGTCACCTTCCTCAAAAAGGGCCAGTATGAAGGATACGGCAGCAGATCCCAATAGAATGAGAACCAACTGATCTTTGAATTGCTCTGCGACGAGTTGCCAGAGAGGTGTCGGTGGCTCTTCCGCAAGGGCTGGATGGCACGATTGGCATTAGCATGTTCCGAAAAGTGACAGCTTCTCTCGGGCCACAAAGCGTTGACATGGTGGCAACCTACCGTTAGGGCCATGTTTCTGTCTAGCTTTCACGACTTGGTTTTGCGATAGACCAAAGCTTTCGGTGACGCTAAAATGGTCGAGTACTTCCACTGGGGAAGAGAGGTAGGATTGCTCCATGTTGGTTTGAGACCCCCAGATAGCCGCGAGGGTGACCAGGAGTGGCAGCAAGGAGGAAAAGATGTAAAAAGAAGAAAAAGAAAAAGAAAAAAAAAAGAAAGGGAAGACAATAGATGAAGGGGACTGAGAGAGAGAGGGGAGGGGGCGGGAAAGAAAATCGGGGATATAACCCAGATCAGGACATGAACGCCAAGTGGCCAGAAACCCCCGGAGCTTAGTGAGTGAGTGAGTGATAAGTAAGTCCAAGGTTGGGATAACTAAGTCCTTAGTTACTCGATAGCCGGGAAGGTCCTAAGCAGAAGAAGGGTGGAAAGTCCGTGACCCGGTGCAATATATATGCAGTACAGCGGCAGGGTACTTACTGATTAGAATCCAGTAAATTGTAATATTTGGAACTCCACCAAGCACGAGGGTACGTTAGCGGGCTGATAGTGTCCGCAATGACTTTATAAGTTATACGAATAGAACTGTGATGTCAATGAATGAATAATCGAGACTAGTAATGTGGTTTGTTGGTGGATGGATAGTGTTATTTATTGTTTGATGTACTGTACTAGAGATGATGCTGATGATGATGGTGCAGAAGAAGAAGAACTGGGTGGAAGCGGCGACTTTTCTTGGTTCCCCCCTCAGGTACTTTCAACGTGTTCTCCTTGGCGGGCGTCTGTGTCTGGCTGGAATCGCTGGATTCAGTCTGGCTGGAGTTCGATCCATCATCCATCCTTCTCCATTTGGTCCCCCCGGGCGGGCGCGGCGTCAGAATTGCCGATACCAAACCGGCAGGGCTGAACCATACCATACCGTCTTAGACGCCGCGGTGCTTCGACCGGCAGAGGGCCTTAGCCTTTTTGGTCTGGCCGCTCTCATACTTCCGCCATGATGCTCATTTGGACAGTGTAATTTATGACACACCAATCTGATACCGTAACTTTCCCTGAGTGAATATTGGTTATGCCTCCACTTCACTTGGCCGAAGTACTGGGTCGGAAAAGTTCTAATGGAGCAATAAGAGGTGACTACTCCGTACTACGGTACAGTATCTATGAGTACGACTCAGCCACCATCATACAGCGCAGACACTCCACCCTAAAACGATGATGCCTTGCACCCAGGATCCATCTGCTCCATCTTAGTTCTGGTTTCTAGGACTGGGATTGGAAGTGGTCGCTTAACGTTTACAGACGATCTTTCCGCTTATCAACTTCCATTTGTGAACTCCGTATTTGAAGCCTGTTTCTTCATTGGATTCTGGGCCTCAACCCAGACCCAATGCCTTCTGGCCGAAGCAAGTAGCGTCGTCCTTTTTGCCTGGGCCCTGTAAGGCAGAGTGTACCGGTATTTAGAGAGGCTCTCTGCGCTTGACTAAGCATAATCTCAGGGTCTTTCTTCTAGCTGGATGTTACTAAGTTAAGCTAGTCAAGAGGCGCTCTATCAAGACATATTAAGGCACGAGTTGCGAGTCTGGGGTTCGCTTTAATTGCAGGTCATCGGTCTGGCTGCACCGTATACAGAACCTGGATGAGGATCGTGTTAGACAGAGCCCCATGTCCAAAAATGGTCGTCTTATGACAGCGGTCTCTGCCTGTGAGATGCATCTTTGATCAGTATCAATAGTAAATATATTGCTTCGTGCAGAGGGGTCCATCTCAGTGGTTGCCGGAAAACGTGGTTGCGCATCCGTCCCCAAATCGAATATTCTTTGTGACGGGGCCATAGTCTGGGGTTTGAGTAGAGGTCGGATTTCCGCTATCTGAATCTCTTCTAACTCGAGTATAAATAGTCTGGTGCTGCGCATCAATCGCAAAGTGTACTATGTAGTCAGGCTACTGGTAGGTTCTACACAGTCAGTCCCTTAGTTAGCTCAAGATGAGGTTGACCCGATCCCGTGACAAGGAGCAAGCCGCAACATGTGACTAGAGAGCGCGTGACTGAAATGCGGCGGTCTAGAGTATGTCATGCCTCAGGCGGTCAGGGACAAACAAACGTAGCAAACAGATGAGGCGCCCGCTTCTCGCTAAAGCTGGCTGGTCGTCACCTTCACCGTCCATCACTCGTTGCTGTGAAGATCACATCTACCAAACCACTCGTGATTCCATCCTCATTCCATCCCATTTTCTCTCCTCCGTAATTTGCTCGGACACTCTAGCTCCCATTTCACTTCCTCGTCAACTGTTTTCTACCTCCCCCCAATTTCTTTTGCAACCTTATCTGTGTCAGATCGCCAAGTATGACTTCTGAGGTATGTTGTCCCTCCAAGCCCCCCCCCCCTCCTCCTCTCCCACCCACCCCGTGCCTGACCCCTCTCTCCTGTGCTTCTGATTGTAAGCATCAGAACTGGTGCTGTTATGCCTACTCTATGCTACGTATATCTGCCGCTTACCCATGCTAAACCTGGCCTTGCACACCTTCGAATGCGACTGGAATGTCCACTGACTCGTTCTCCCCCCTTTACTTACAGCGTGAGAGGTAAGGATCCAGACCTGTCTTCAGCACCTGCAATCAAGCTATTCAACAACACTCACACCTCCTCCCTATCCTTAGCAAGACATTTCTCGCCCGCCTTTGCGAACAGGCTGAGCGCTACGATGGTAAGATCGTCACTACGACTTCTCCCATCCCCGTACTCTGTTGATGCTGATTCCCACTGTCCATAGAAATGGTCACGTACATGAAGGTGAGTAAACGTCGTCCTCAAAACGATAATTATACATTATGCGGTAAATAACTATGTTTTCAGGAAGTCGCCAACGTATGTATCCCTCTCCTTGGATCGATGACATCCCCTTTCGTGAAAATCCCTACCTTTGTCCGCCCGGCTGACCACCCCTGGTATTAGATCGGAGGCGAGCTTTCCGTTGATGAGCGTAACCTTCTTTCCGTTGCCTACAAGAACGTGGTTGGTACCCGTCGTGCCTCCTGGCGCATCATCTCCTCCATTGAGCAGAAGGAGGAGACCAAGGGCTCTGAGAAGCACGTTTCCATCATCCGTGATTACCGTCAAAAGATCGAGACCGAACTCGAGAAGGTCTGCCAGGACGTCCTTGATGTCTTGGATCAGTCCCTTATCCCCAAGGCCGAGACTGGCGAGTCCAAGGTCTTTTACTACAAGATGTAAGCGTCCATTCCCCGGCGGGTGAAGTAGCTATCGCAATGGCATAGGAATTAAGATATTTACAATCCGCAGGAAGGGTGACTACCACCGCTATCTTGCCGAGTTCGCCTCTGGCAATAAGCGCAAGGTCGCCGCTACCGCTGCTCACGAGGCTTACAAGGTAAGTCCGCTGGCGGTCCAGTTGCCCTACCTAATGATCTCCTGTATTGATGATCTGTCCTAGAATGCCACCGATGTTGCTCAAACCGATCTCACTCCCACTCACCCCATCCGTTTGGGTCTCGCCCTTAACTTCTCCGTCTTCTACTATGAAATTCTGAACTCCCCCGACCGTGCCTGCCACCTTGCTAAGCAGGCCTTCGACGATGCCATTGCCGAGCTTGACTCCCTCTCTGAGGAGAGCTACCGGGACAGCACTCTGATCATGCAGCTTCTGCGTGACAACCTGACCCTGTGGACCTCTTCTGATGGTAACGACGCCGAGGGTGCTGCTGCTCCTAGAGAGGACAAGCCCGAGGAGGAGGCTGCTGCTGCCCCCGAGGATAAGGTGGAGGAGACCCAGCCCGCTGCCCCTGAGTCCTGAACGATGGATTCTTTCCTATTTGTATCAAAATTCCCCGTGCTGTGTCATCGGCGTGCCTGCTCGGAACGTGCGGCTAGTATCTGGGAGTGCTTACGGCGCTCTGCTTTGAGTGCGTGACTGATTTAGGCCGGCACATGTCTTCCACCATTTCGGGATTGTGTGGGTCGGTCGGCGGAGTTTGATATTTGGAGCGTGACGAAAAGGGGCTGAGTGGAATTTATCTCTCTTTATTCTCTCTTTATTCCCACTCCAGCAAGATACAATGTCTTATTTCCAGTTCCTGATTCACTGCTGCCCCTTTTCCCCCTGTTGTTTCTTCCGCACAATGCCAAGAGCCTTGAGCTTCCCAGATGATCCCGTCCGGAGTAATCAATTCCGTGGACCTTTTCATCCACACAGACTTTCTAGTAGCTGAGAGCTTTCTGATGTCGAGAATCCATGATAGTCACCGGCTTCATTCACCGCCAAACTGCTGAATTCTCTGTTCCAGTGATATCTTCCTAGTCCTAGCAGGTGGTTTCTTTCCCAATGTGTAAAATCTCTATTGAAAGTCAAAAGCCTACAGTTCGTTTGAATCATGGGCACTGCAGTAAAATCGGGTTCTATGTCTAAATGCGGACAAGAATATGTGGTGAGCAGGATGGCTTTTTAGAGCAAAAAAAAAAGAAAACAACAAGGAGATGGGTTTGAATCGCATTTACAAGAATGTACGTCAGAAGCATGTCAAGACCGGTCTAGCTAAGGCTCCAGAGAAAATGAACCTGAGTCTAAGAGAAAGCTATGGGGGAGGATGGTATAAGGAAATAAAAACGTGTCACGCCGAATTTCAATAATTACATGAAGTCATCGTCATCCAAGCCATCATCATCATAAGAGTTCGAGTCAATGTGGTTCTCTCTGGCCGCGACGAGGGAAACCTTGGTCTTGGCGGCCTTGGTTTTCTTGTTGCCCTTGTCAGCGGCACGCTCCTCCTTCATCTTTTCGTTGCTGAGCGTGGTCAGACCGGAAGCCATCTTCTTGACATCGCCACTGGGCAATTCCTTGGCCAGCTGCTTGACGAACTCCTGGGCCCACAGAGCATACTGGGGCTTCTTGGAGTGCACCGTCAATAGGGGGACCAGGGTCGCAGAGAGACGCGCGAACTGATCCTTGGTGGTGGGCTTGAACAGCGGCATGGCCGACAGGTCGACTGCCTGGGTGGGGTCAGTCGAGTCGCCGATGACGACGGCCTTGGGGGCGCCGCGGTTGCGCATGCGGTTGAGGTCGATGTCGCCAAACAGATCCTCGGCGTGCTTGAGATCGGCATCCTTCTCCGTCTTGCGGAGGCGGGCGCGGCGCTCGGCTTCGTCCTCCTCGCTGTCCTCCTCGCTCTCGGCGTCTGCCTGTGCCTTCCGCGTCGCCTTGTGCTCCTGTATGCGCTGCGCCTTGCTCTTCTTGTTGGCAGCCGCCTCCGCTTCGGCCTTGGCCTTAGCCTCAGCAGCCTTGGCGGCCTTTTCTCTCTCTACCTCGGAGTCTTCGGCGGCATCCCATGAGTCGAGGACCTACGCCGTTGCAATTTCTGATCAGCGCTTCGTCTTCTCCGTGTTTTGCAGGTATGCCCTTTTTGGAAGCGATTTAAATCACTGGAAGTCGAAAGGCTCGGGCAAAGAAAAAGAAGGGGGAGGGGGCGGCCGATTTTCTTCATGGCCAACATTCTCTTGGTTGAAAGAAAGGGCAAAAAGTAAAGATAAGGAGAACTTACATCGTCTTCTTCCTCATCGTCAAACTTGCGACGGGCAGCAACGGGAGGGGGAGAAACGCTCTCCTCCTCGTCATCTGAAGTCAACGTCAGTGGTGCGTTTGAACGAAGCAAGGTGGTGTTGAGATGGCATGAGGGGCAAGAGGCCGGAGGGGGTAGTGTAGTATGGGAGACAAAAATCCCATTTGTAGAACATACCCCACTTTGAAGGGGCCATGGCGGACAAAAATGGCTCAAGGTCGAGATAGGAAAATCAGGTCAGAGTGCGCCCTCGCGTGGCTAGTCGGAGATCCAGTAGCTTCGAGTCCCTTGTCTATGAGACTGGGGAGTGCCGGTGACTTTGGCAGTGAAAGCGCAAGGAAGAGAGGAGAAGGAGTAGGAAAGCGAGACTGCTTGAGTGATTGCTTGATTGATCCCGTGGGGCAAGGCCAAAGGTCACGTGAGATAATGGGATGTCCAATACGGAACTCGTGCTGTACGCCCCGGGCCCGCAACGGGTGACTTAACATAGTCACAAAGTCAATACAGTATCCTCTTTTACTTAACATTGCTTCTACTAATATCACCACCACCACGACAACTACTACTATGCTGCTCATGGCCTTGGGCACCGTGAAAAACAAGAAAATGAGGTTTGTTTTCTCCATTATATGCCACTAATCATAAAATGGCCTTGTATTCGTCATCATGAATATTGATCAAGGTCTTTCTTCCCTGACCAAAAAGCAATCCGCCCACCAGATCTGTACGCAGTGAGGCGATGCCCCTTCAAAAAGGGATATCAAAAGTTTGATAAAATGTTAATTCGGAAGTGCGGCGAGGCTTGTCGCTGCATTTACAACTGAACAGCGGTGCGGAACTTGCTGCCAGCATAGACAGCGTTCTCACCAAGCTCCTCCTCGATACGGAGGATCTGGTTCAGCTTGGCAAGACGCTCAGAGCGGGCAGGAGCACCGGTCTTGATCTGGCCAGAGCGGAGACCAACGGCAATGTCGGCAATGGTCACATCCTCGGTCTCACCGGAACGGTGGGAGACCATGACACCCCAGCCATCGGCGTAGGAGTCCTTGGCAGCCTGGATGGACTCGGTGAGAGTACCGATCTGGTTGACCTTAAGAAGGAGAGCGTTGCAAGACTTGAGCTCGATAGCCTTCTTGATACGCTGGGGGTTGGTGACAGTCAAGTCATCACTGTGATCGTATTAGCAACCAAATCGGTGGTTCTAGAATCAGGATACCTACCCGACAATCTGGAAGTCAGAGGTCTTGTAGAAGTAGCTCCAGGCCTCCCAGTCGTCCTCAGCGAAGGGGTCCTCGATGCTGACAATGGGGTACTTGCTGGCAAGAGACTTGTACAGGTCGGCCAGCTGCTCGTAGGTGAGCCACTTGGAGGGGTCGGACTCGGGGTTCTTGAAGTCGAGGTCGTACTTCTTCTCCTCGACCTTGTAGAATTCGCTGGAAGCAACATCCATGGCGATGGAGATCTTGCCAGTGTATCCGGCCTGCTCGATAGCCTCGGTGATCAGGTCGAGAGCCTCCTCGGCGGTCTGAATATCGGGGGCAACACCACCCTCGTCGCCGACGTTGCCGGCAGACTGGCCGTACTTCTTCTTGGCAAGAGCCTTGAGCTTCTGGTAGACCTCGGCACCCTGGCGGAGACCCTCGGAGAAAGAAGAGGCGTTTCTGTGAAAAACAGAGTCAGTCCGAGTTATCCGCGTCGAAGCTCGACTCCGGTTGACTTACTCAGGAACGATCATGAACTCCTGGAAAGCAAGGCGGCCACCGGCGTGGGAACCACCGTTGAGGACGTTCTGGAAGGGAACGGGAAGAACGTAGGGCTTCTTGGTACCAGCCAAGTCGGAGATGTGGGCGTAAAGAGGGATACCCTTCTCAGCAGCACCGGCCTTGGCGATGGCCAGACTGACACCGAGAATGGCGTTGGCACCGAGGTTGGACTTGTTGGCAGTACCATCGAGCTTGTTAAGGAACTCGTCAACCTTGGACTGGTCCTTGACATCAAGGTTCTCCTTGATAACAGCGGGGGCAATGGTCTCGTTGACGTTGTTGACGGCCTTCAAGACACCTGGTCACGCACGCAGATAATGTGAGCTAAATGCAATCGGGGGTAATGAATCGAAGGTTATCAAACTTACCCTTGCCACCCCACTTGGTCTTGTCACCATCACGGAGCTCGTGAGCCTCGTGCTGGCCTAATCTCGATTGTCAGCGTCTCCAACTTGGAGAGAGGCGGAAGGCAGGAATGTTGCTCACCAGTAGAGGCGCCGGAGGGGACAATGGCGCGGTGAAGACCAGTCTCAGTGACAACGTCAACCTCAACGGTGGGGTTACCGCGAGAGTCGTAGACGGAGCGGGCGTGGATCTTGGAGATAGGCATGTTGATGGCTAATGGGGGTGGGGGATGAATCAGTTTTGACTGGAGAAGAAACGGGCAAACAGAGGCCGGGGTCTATATTTATATAAGGGAGACCAAGAAAGGAGAGAGAGGAGGGGGGGGAGGGGGAGCAGGGCAAAAACCCAGTGCTTTGAATTGTTGTTGGGTGTGGGTGACCGACTAGGAAGCGGGGAGAAATCCAAGTGGTTTGTTGTTCACCGAGCACCCAAAATGACTGACGGAGAGGAGGTGGAGAGGTCCGATTGCGATCAATGGATGGGCCAGCCTAACAGCACGGCAGACCGTTGAGGCGTTGACAATCATAGGTACTCGGTAATAATGATCACAACATGATTGAACATGATTGAACATAAGCCCATGGGAGTGGAGCATGACTCTATTAATCCCCCGTATTTATGGTGATTGGGGCGGCAACCACCATCATGGATGCATTTTGAATGTAGTGGTGGCTGGCGATGGCGGGGTTGAGCTGTCCCAAAACAGAAATATTTATAGGGAGCCTGGAGAACGGAAATGGAGGGGTATGGAAGAGACTCGGGAGGAAGGTGAGGGGAGGGGCGGAGGGGCAAACATGGGGGAATTGAAGATGGAAGAATGAAAAACATGAGATAACATAACTTAATGAATCAAGACTTACCTGAAAGCAAGGAGATTAGACCTTTTGAAGTTATGATGATTGACGAGGGAGAGAGAAAGGAAGAGGGAGGTTGTCAAGAGGGAAGAGGAAGAGGAAGACGGATAGAACAAGAGAAAGAGAGAGGATTCTTGTACTTTTCGTACTTCTTGCAAGCTGAGCTCATAGACCAGACAGGTGCACCGTGCAAATGAAATGATCAATTGCCCCGGGAAAGCTCACCCTCTAATCTGCTTCGTCTCCGAATCTTTCCCATGAAATGGTGGGGCAATCTTGTCTTCCTCCTCTCTTCACTTGTCCTTCTCCAGCGAGATCTTCCGCGTACCCTCGGGGAAATGTAGATAGAGTACTCTGGGCATGCTGAGCAAGTCCTATACCAACCTCGGAACTAAGTACAGTACAGTACACCCATGCATCAATTCATGCTTAGGCACAGCAGTAGAAGGACTAATGCCTATCCAAGTTACAATGGATCACCATTCAGTTTTCCTCCTCCGCAGCCGCCGGACTGTTCGTATTCCTATCCTCATCATTTGCTTACCTCGACTGCTGGCTGCGACAGGGTCTGGAAACTTCCATTGCGTAATGACGAAAAGGTTTCCCGGGAGCAAACATGCTCTCGTCGATACCTTGATGCCTGATACTCCTACTCCGTTGGGATCTCGGATATTTCATACTGCGGGCCCGGGTTGAGCCGTACAGTAGTTAACATTTACACCTTCAAACCAAGGCGTCAATAATCTATCACGTGTAGTGCTCGCATTCGCCATCATGCTTGTACTCACGTGACTTGGCTGACCTGGTGTCTCCGGGCTCCGAGCTCCTCGACAAGCTTCCCCGAGCTTGGTAGGCGTGTGAAGTCATAGACCGTCAACCATCCATCGCTCAGCCGTTTACCTGCTATCATCATCCCTATATCCGAACGTTCCTTCGATTCTTGGGCGCTTGGAGAATACTGTGAACTCTTCGTTGTCTCCGGTTCACCGTCTCGCCTGACATCATCATGAACAGTGGCAGTGACCCCGAGAGGGACCAGGCGCTCGAGGACTACAAGAGAAGCCTGCTGGAGTTGCGGGAATGGGAGGCCAAACTGAAGTCTCTGCGGATGGGGATCAAGGATTTACAGAGAGAATTCGACATCTCTGAAGAGAACATCAAGGCCCTGCAGAGCGTTGGTCAGATCATTGGGGAGGTGCTGAAACAGCTCGACGAGGAGAGATGTAGGTCTACCTTGGCTCATTGTGTCCTTGAGAAGAGAGACTTGGGACTCGTTGCGAACGTTGCTGGCTATGAATCTGCCGGCCTTTTACTATACAAGAGCTGACCTCTATAGTCATTGTCAAGGCGTCCTCGGGACCTCGATATGTTGTCGGTTGCCGCTCCAAGGTCGATAAGGCGAAGCTGAAGCAGGGTACCCGGGTTGCCCTGGATATGACTACATTGACGATTATGCGGATGCTGCCCAGAGAGGTCGATCCGTTGGTATACAATATGTCGCTGGAGGACCCGGGTCAGATCAACTTTGCAGGCATCGGTGGTCTAAATGACCAAATCCGTGAGCTACGCGAGGTGATCGAATTGCCGTTGAAGAACCCCGAACTGTTCCAACGAGTGGGTATCAAGCCGCCCAAGGGTGTCTTGCTCTACGGTCCCCCAGGTACGGGTAAGACGCTCCTGGCACGAGCTGTCGCAAGTTCAATGGAAACCAACTTCTTGAAAGGTATGCATATCAAAGACATGGGGATCGTCGCGCCTGCTAATGCTCTCCTTACCCAGTGGTGTCATCTGCTATTGTCGATAAGTATATTGGTGAATCCGCACGGCTGATACGAGAGATGTTCGGATACGCCAAGGAGCACGAGCCCTGCATCATTTTCATGGACGAAATTGACGCCATCGGAGGACGACGTTTCTCTGAGGGTACCTCCGCGGATCGAGAAATCCAACGAACATTGATGGAGCTGCTCAATCAGCTGGACGGCTTTGATTATTTGGGCAAGACTAAGATCATCATGGCCACGAATCGGCCGGACACTCTAGACCCAGCTCTATTGCGTGCTGGCCGTCTGGACCGGAAGATCGAGATCCCCTTGCCCAATGAGGTTGGTCGTCTCGAGATCCTGAAGATCCACTCTAGCACTGTCAAGATGGACGGGGAGATCGATTTCGAGAGCGTGGTGAAGATGAGTGACGGCCTCAATGGTGCCGATCTTCGCAACGTTGTCACCGAAGCGTAAGTGGCTATCCCAGCTTATTACTTTGCTCGAATCAATGCAGTGATCTCCAGACTGACTGTGATCTAGTGGTCTATTTGCAATCAAGGACTACCGCGATGCGATTAATCAGGATGATTTCAACCGGGCTGTGCGGAAGGTGGCTGAGGCGAAGAAGCTGGAGGGCAAGCTTGAATACCAGAAGTTGTAAATGCATTTCGAGGCATGGTTTTACTTCGGACTTAGCCGTCATGTTTTAGAATCCTGTTTAAATTCACTGACACGGTCCGCCGACATTGATTCTGGATAATGCAACTCTAGATCAAAGATTCTCTTCGCACTCAGAATCTTAATGGGATACGCGGTTTAGTGTGTGTATCCTACTCGACTTTGGTGGAGTGATATGGAATAAGTTACTAGTAGCTCCACATAGTCCGGAACACAGACCCTGGAATGGAACCCTGGCTGGGGAAAAGAGATGTCCAGTACAAATGTCATCGAGATGATACTGTACAGTGTACAGATAACTTTACTATGAGGTCTTACTACTCCATAGCTGGAGCAGCATGGGGAATGAACGCCAAGGCGGACTGAGGCCCCGAAATACTCATACGTTGCTTGATTACGAGTGACTTTACGGAGTACTCATAATACGTACCCTGACCGAACCGGGAAGGGGGAGGAAGAGGCGGATCTGCATCCTTGACCCGAAAGTCGGAGACGTTACACGCGTCCAGGCCATCCTCACCATTAATTACTTACTCTAATTTATTAAGTTCACGTTGATATAACCGTTTCAGTTCCAGCCTACCCGACACATCTGGACACTTGTTCTTCACCTGATTGCTTGATATGGTAGACGAAATCTAACCACCTCTCTATTCAATTATTGATCCTCACTTTCTTTCTTTCTCTCTCTCTCTCTCTCTCTTTCTCTATCCCACCTCTGCTCGATCAAATTGGACTAAACTATTCACCGATATTGGTCAATCGTCACGGACCCTCTCCCCCGTGTAGCACGGGTGGAATTCTTGGTTGGTTGGTAAACTGTCTCATTCTTGCTTCCTATTCATGAGCCCACAACCTGTTATCTATGATACATATCATTGTCTCGTGCTTCAAGCATCTTGCTGACTGGTACATGTGCACTTGTTGCATGTGCTCACTGTCTAGAGCTTCCAAGCACTTTACCAATCGACTCGGTTGCCTGCCTTGCTAGCCCATTGCCATCTCTTCATTCATCTGGAGCATAGCGAACAAAACACACTGTAACCAGCTGTGACGATATTGAATCATTGTTTCGGATCAAACAGACTCAGACCGTGGGGTAGTGTTTATTATTACCACATTTCAGGCTCGGGTAGAGAGAGAAAGAGAGGACAGATATAGTATTTTAGTAGCAAAGGCCTTGGCGGGTCGGTAATGGTCATGGCTTTTCAGGCCCCGCGGAGCAATCCCTCTTTTCCCTCCCAACAACCATTCGAGAACAATTACTGGCGTGCGAGTCGAAGTCCCGGGTCTAATGGGTTGCCTGGGTATGGGTTTTCTCCGTCTGCGACCACTACCATCAACCTGAACACTCCGATCGCCGGCGATCGCACCCTCCCGATGTATAAAGACAAGCCGTATTTCGCCCCGCGGCGCACAGGGCCCCGGGCGCAACGAAGGAAGACCATATACGGTGGATTGTGCCTGTTGGCGCTTTTTCTATGGTGGTACTACTCGGGTTCATCAACCCGGTCGCAGTCGAAGATCCACCATGACACTCCCGACCCGGCGAAGGGCGAAGAGCTTTGGAAATGGCTGCAGACCCTCGACGACTCCGAACCAACATATGATGGGCACAGCGCAGCTTCAAAGCACATTGATTGGGACACGAGGCGGGAAAGGGTTCGCGACGCGTTCATTGTCAGCTGGGATGGTTATGAGAGCAATGCCTGGGGTAAGTTCTACAGGGCTCACGAAACCTACCTGCTCCGTCCTGCTAACGTGGTATCCCTGGGGTGGTTGTTTCTGCTGAGCAGGTTACGACGAGTATCACCCAATTTCAAAGGATGGCCGGCATATGGTCGCCGGGGGTATGGGATGGATAATTGTGGATGCGCTGGACACGTTGATGATTATGAATTTGACATCGCGGGTGCAGCACGCCCGCAGCTGGATCCACAACTCACTGCAGTATAATCAAAACCATGATGTGAACACCTTCGAAACCACCATTCGCATGCTCGGCGGCCTGCTTTCCGCCCATTATCTCTCGACTACTTACCCGGATCTTGCCCCCATTAACGACGACGATGCAGGAGCACCGGGAGAGGATCTGTATATCGAGAAAGCGACCGATCTGGCCGACCGGCTCTTGGGCGCTTTTGAATCTACCACGGGCATCCCTTACTCGAGCATCAACTTGAATACCTCGACGGGTATTCCCTCTTATATCGACGATGGCGCGGCCTCCACGGCTGAAGCGACTACTGTTCAGCTAGAGTTCAAATACCTAGCTAAATTGACAGGCGAGGCGGAGTATTGGCGCTCTGTTGAGAAGGTCATGGAAGTCATTGACGCGCAGAAAAGGCAGGATGGCCTGCTTCCAATCTATGTTTCCCTGGAAACTGGTCAATTCAAGGGCGAGAATATTCGTCTCGGTAGCAGAGGCGACTCCTACTACGGTATGGTGCCTCAAGAATACACGTCCAACCTGCTATGCTCGAACTGACACGCCGACCAGAATATCTTATCAAGCAGTACCTACAGACTTCGGAACAGGAGCCAATCTACAAGGAGATGTGGGATGAAGCTCTACTTGGCATGCGTAAGCACCTGCTTACTTACTCGCAAAACGCCCGCTTGACAGTGCTCGGGGAGCGGCCTCACGGCCTTGACGGCACTTTGTCCCCCAAGATGGACCACTTGGTCTGCTTCCTTCCCGGAACGATCGCCCTTGGAGCGACCGGGGGACAACCGCTCTCTGAGGCGCGCAAGTCTCCCAACTGGGGCCAACGACAAGAGGAAGAAATGCGCCTGGCGCGAGAACTGACCAAAACCTGCTGGGCCACGTACCTAGTCACTGAGACCGGCCTCGCCCCGGAAATCACCTACTTCAAAGTCGACAACCCCCGAGTCATGGAGGCAGACATGTACCCGGATTCGACGGCCGTTACTGGCAGAAACGACCAGCCAGTCTTGTCACCAGGCGACCTCCCTCTCCTTTCGAAGCCTTTGTACCCAATCCCTGGCCGATCTGACCCGAACGACCCATCTACCAAAACCTGGCTTGATGACCTTGAAATCCAGCGGATGGACCGGCATAACCTCCAACGGCCCGAGACTGTGGAATCCCTCTTTTACATGTACCGGATTACTGGAGATGACACTTACCGGCATTGGGGCTGGGAGATGTTCAAGTCCTTCATCAAATACACCGCTGTCGTGGAGACAGACGGCCTCGATCACGAAACAGGCGACAAACCACTGGCCACTGGAGGATCGGGTCGCATCACTGGTTTCACCTCTCTCTCGAATGCGAAATCCCTTCCTGTGACGACCAGGGACAATATGGAGAGTTTTTGGATGGCGGAGACGCTCAAGTATTTTTACCTACTGTTCTCCGATCGGGAGTTCATCTCGTTGGAGGACAATGTCTTCAACACCGAGGCGCATCCCTTCCCTCGTTTCAAGCCCACCGGGGAGTTGAAGACGGGGTGGACGAGGAAGAGTCGCACGACGGAGGAGAGTCAGACGATGGAGCATCTAGCTCAGATGTAATTTTTTTTCTACTTGTTGTGGTAACCTGCTTGGCGATTCTGTATAGTTTGAATATCCCAAATTTCATACTTTTTGACCGCTTGCATCGTGGTTTCGAAACTTGCTTATGGTCATGTAGATCCAATACGAAAGAGGGACCATTTTTCACAGCTCACTACACCAACCACCACCCAGTTCTTGAGATTTATTCCAACTTGAGGCCCCGCTGTACAGCAGCATCAATCAGTCGCTTATATCCCCGTACAGCCTCTTCGAGTTGCCCGACTGTGATTGCCTCATCATCCCCGTGCGCAACATGGATGCTTCCCGGCCCATATAGGTATCGCTTCACTTTCTCCGAGACCTTCAGGTTCGGCACATCCGTGCCGTAATTCACGGTCATCACCTCAAAGCCCGGGACATCGGTATCCAAGTCCTGGGGCGGATACCCTCCGCTGTACACCTCGAAATCACAGTAGACGCTCTCATCTCCGTTGGTGGCATCCTTGACCGCTTGCGCGACGACCTTCCTCGCGTCGTCCGGGGTACCCTCGGCTAGGCGAATGGCGACCTCCGCCCGCGCCTTGGCGGGGACCACATTGGCCGCGACGCCCGCATCGACGCGACCGATGTTCACCGTCGTCCGGCCATATTTGGGGCTGGCGGGCAGGCCGCCTTCCTCGGCGGGGATCTCGCCGAGCACATCCAGCCGTGACAGCGCGGGCAGGAGCGCGGAGACGGCACTCCGGCCGAGCCACGGGTAGCCGGAGTGGGCGGCCTGGCCGGTCGCCACGAGCGGGAACTCGAGCATGCCCTTGTGGCCGGAGACGAGCGCCAGCTCGGTGGGCTCCCCGAAGATGACGGTGTGGAAGGGCGACGGGTCCGTCGGGTTGAGCGGCGACTCGGAGAAGACGCGCATCCCCAGGCCGCCGACCTCCTCGTCGACCACAAAGAGAAGCCCCAGGCTGGCCCCGGGTTGCTCCTTCAAGGTCTCGAGGACGGCGAAGATCTGCGCGGCGATGCTCGCTTTGGCGTCGACGGTGCCGCGGCCGGCGAGGGTCAGGGAGGACCGATTGCCGGGGTCGTGGTCATGGAGGGTGTAGGGGAGGAACGGCGGCACCGTGTCGATGTGGCTGGTGAGAAGGATCTCGGGCCGGTCCTGCGAGGGCGAGGCGGACGGGTAGGCGAAGATATTGAATCGGTTCTTGTCGGTGGTCGGGTCCGTTCCCTGGCTGCCGGCGGGGACGGGTTGCTTGATCACCGTGAAATTGTGCGTTTCGAGAAAGTCGGCGATGAAGAGCCCGACGGCGGTTTCGTTGCCAGACACCGAGGGGATTTGGACGAGGTTGCGGTGAAACGAAAGGAAGGGGGAGGCATCGATGATGTCCGAGGGGTCAGGAGTGAGCGATAAGGGTGATTGTTGAGGCGGTGCTGCTGCGGCAAGGCCAGCAGCTGCTAGCAGAAGGGGAATGGGAATTTTCATGTCTATTGAAGCTGGGGAAGATGGTGAACGATAGCTATCATCGCTGAGCGATGTAGGAGGAAGTCAATTGAGAAGTGGGGAATGAATATGGAGGGTCACGGTGGAAGAAGGAAACTGAGGTTCTTGGGTCTAGTTCTTGTACTATACTACGCTAAGTAGCTAGTAGCTAGTAACTTAGCTAATAACTAACTTAGTAGCTAGTAACTGAATTAGTCGTATCAGTATGAAGCTAAGGATGAAGGATGGTGAGGAGACACTGGAGATAAGCCGATAACCAGCCGATGCAGGCATAGATCCAAGTCACGTGGATGATTATGATTGACCTTCCTGGTCTGGAATAGTGTCGCATGGTATCATCGAGATCATCATCGAGATCATCCGGACCAGAGAAGACATGCAGAACAGTTTGAGGAAAGCACGCTTCAATGAAGACTAAACTGAAGATGAAAAGGATCAAGATGTATGTTGCTTCAAGACCCTTGCTTTTTATCATGTTAACAAGGACATTTTGCTGACTGAGTTGGCCATTTCGAATTGATCAACCATCAACCATCCTTGATCAATTCACATGTGTAGACCTGTGGTCCGTGGATAAGCCATGACGTAAATTTCCCAACAAATGACTTCTTCGCCTTGCAATAGCCGAGATGGGCTCCAATCCAGCTCAAGGACCAATCGCACATTCATCCATTCTTCTTCGCATCAGGGCTCAGGGCCCGGATGCTAACCCGATCATCTGGACCGTGGACACATGGCGCCAAGATCCCTTGCTCGCGGAAACGCGCCGTTCTTCCACCCGTTCGTCTGGCATTCTCCATCGGGCAAAATCAACTTGAACCAAGGTTCATTGGGGGGACCAAAATCCAGAGAGTGAGTGAGCCCTGAGCACCGAGCAGGGATTCAGCCGGTTGGCGCTGGGCCATGTGGATCTGACGTCGGCACCAGCTGGATGATTGTGACTCGTGAGAGTCAATGATGATTGAGCTTTTCGGCCATGCCCACAATAACCCACAACAACTCACAACGAACTACTCGCGTACTCCGGTTGACCCTGGTGATTTTGTTAGTACGGTGGGGAGGTGCAGGGATTTGAATCCTTCAAGCGGTGTGTCTACCACCAAGCACCGCCTT